GAGTACAGAGTATAAGTGCTCTACAGAGGTAAGCAAAGGATGCTAGAATTCAACCAAAAAACTTAAGGCTGAGGACAGGGTTAAGGGAAGTGACACAGAAGCAGAAGGCTGTTTAGAGCAGTTTAAGCCTGACATCCACGGAGAGCCACCCGGAGAAAATAAAAGAAATATGTTAAGCAATCTAATCTGGTTGAGAAAGTAGAATATAAATGCCTGGAAAGGGAAGATTTAGAAGAGATGGCAATAGGCTACTTCATACCATTTCAAAACTTCTTGGGAAAAAAAAAATTAAGCCATATTTTTTAAAAAGTAAAGGCAAATATTAATAGAAGAAATAGAAAGAATCTCTAGGGAACAAAAATAATGAAAGAATGGAAAAAGACAAGACAAAATAAAACCATTAAGGAAATCATAAGAATAAAAGACAGGAAAAGGGCTCAGCATAATAGTCATTATGACAAAAAAAGATTAAGATCATCTAAAGACAAACTCTCACATTAAACTAAAAAAACCAGTCCCATGTGACACAAAACCACCTACAAAACAGAAGACAAAATGAGAAGGGATAAAATAAATATAAAATTATAAAAGAATAAGACAAGTTCATTACATGCAGTAAAGAGACTAACACTGACAAAATATACAGTCCAAGATTAAGATAAAAGTAGTTAGTGCTTATTTGCTGACTACACAAATAGAATATAACAAGCACAAGTGCCAAGAGAAAATGGAATAAAATCCACAATTATGTCAAGAGATTGAACAAAGTAGAAAAGAAAAAAGATCACAACAGAGCTGAATGTGTTCACAAAATTGATTCTGGGAACAATTACAACAGTTTATACTTCTGAAACAAATTTTATTTAAATGTCCTTGAACTACTTGTAAAAACTGCTCATGTTCAAGGCCAAAGAGCTTTTAGCTCATTATAACAAAATACTGGAAACAACATAAATGTTCATCAACAAGTAATAAACAAGCTGATATACTGGAATGTAGAGATAGATACAATGCAATGTTACTAAGTATGAAAGGACACACTCAATAGATCCAAAATGAGTAAGTTTCTCCCATTCAAGTACTAATCAGGCCTGACCCTGCTTAGCTTCCAATATCAGACAAGATCGAGTGTGTTCAGGGTGGTATGGCCGTTGACCAAAATGAATAAATTTCGAAGTCTGTTTAATGAAATAGCTAGAGAAAAAAAAATACCACATGACTCTACTTATATGAATTCTAGGTTGACAGTAATAACTTGGGGGTAGGGTGGGGAAAGAGGGAACTGACTGCAAAAAGGAATTAAGAGAAACTATGGGGATGGTAAAAATGATCTATGTGATCTAAGTTTTCATCATATAAGAACAGAAGTTTCAAAATGGCAGACTCTGTTGATTTCATAAAGAATAATTTCACAATGGTTATAGAGTATTCTAGCCATGTAAACACACTTCAGTATCTTTCAAATTTAAAAACTGTCCCTTGATCCAATATGGTAGCCACTAGCCAAGGGTACTGAAATGTGGCTGTTACAGATGAGGAACTAAGTTTTAAATTAAATTTAAGGTTTACTTTAAAAATTAATACTTGAAAAAAAATAATAAAATAAAAATTAATACTTGACTCAGTTACTTGAAAACAAGTACGTCTGAAGAAACTTGGGTTTGAGAATCAACTTTTTCAACTGCAAATTTTATGCAATCCAGGCATAAATCAAGCACTTTGATGAAACTTTAGCATCTAAACTCAAATGTGGGGCTGGGGATTTAGCTCAGCGGCAAAGCGCCTGCCTGGCAAGGGCAAGGTCGTGAGTTCGGTTCCCGGTACCGGAGAAAAACCAAAACCAAAAAATAAAAAAATAAAAAAATAAATAAACTCAAATGTAAGACAAACATTAAATTTCAAAGACTTAGTATGAAAAAGAATGTAAAATGGCTGATAATATTTCATATTGGTTTATACTAAGATGATAAAATTGACACTGGATTATATTAATAAATTATTAAAATTAATTTTGCTTCTTTTAACCATTTTAACATGACTATTACAAAATATAAATTACATATCTTGCTTCCATCACATTTCTACTGGTCTGCACTGTTCTGTCTTCATTGTGGCATGGAAATAAAGGTGCAAACGTGTTAAAATTATAACTGTACACTTAAAATGGGTGTACTTTATTCTACATAAATTATTTAAATTGGTTTGGGGACTTATATATGTGTGTGCATGTGTGCATGTAAGAGACTCTGCATAAATGTATCAATGATTATCTCATTTGTGACCTTTCCTTATTAAGAAGCGTAAGTGAAAAAATTCATTAGGTATACACATACAAAATTAACCTGCTCCTCTTAATACTCGTTCTCACATTAAATTTTACTGCAGTTATTCAACATCCACCCCCTCACTAGCCTTTGAGATTCCTACAGGCAAGAATCCTTCTTGTTCATCTATGTATGAGCCTAGCACTTAACATAAAAAGTTAACACAGTAACCTACAATGTTTCAACAGATGCAAAACTGTCCCACTTTTTCAGTCTAATATCCTCAACATCCCTGCAAATTTAGCATTATTACTCCAATTTTTAAATGAAAAAAAACTGAGGGTCAGAGGGTCAAAAAGGTTAAAGTAATTCCTCAAATATCCAGAGCTAGTGAGTAAAAGATCTATGTTGGAAACCCACATTCTCCTCAACTCTAAAGCCCATTCTTCCGTTCTATGCCATAGTGCCACCACTCCAAGTGGGAATTTCAGAACTGATGAATGACAAAGTAAAAATTCATCTTTAGGGAAAATGGAACCATACAAATTTTCCTGGCCTTCAGTGCTTCCAACTTTTGAATGAGTTCTCTAAATAGAATGACTTGGCAGCTCTTACTAGATCAGGAAGGGTAAATAGGAAAAAAAGTCCCTTCCAATTAAATTTTCCACTTGGAAGTCTGAAGAAGAAGAACAATGCAGAACAAAGAACACCGGAAAGAGACAAAAGGAAATGCTGAATCTGCTAATATAGCTAATTAATGCAAAAGAAGGAATCTAACAGCAACTTCAGCATTCAAAAATGAAAAGTGAGGAGATCCCACAGAAGTATACAGTCTCTAAGTCTTTTGTAGCTCCTCCTTAATTAGCCTCCCAGAATCTCAGCATTCCCATTTGAATAATCCATATTTCTGGTTATTTATTCAGCTCCCCACTGCTACACATTACCAAACCATATGCTAGCGAATATATCACTTCATATTTGCACTCAACCATCTAAAGTCATTGGCAGTTCAGACCTTTAGGAAGCTTAGGGAAAAGTCCCTGCAGAGTGTAGTTTTAAGGTTAGAAGACCCAAAAAGCCACATGCATCTTCCTTATATGTTATTTGTTTAAGAGAAAGTGGGTCATTTCAATAAACAGACAGGCAATTAGAAAGGTAAAGGAAAGAAACAAACAAAAGACTCGAGAGTAAAGCTGGCAGGAATCAGCCAAACAGTAAAGACTTCTGAATAATTTGCCATAGCTTTCTCTGCACTTTAAAAAAGAATTTGTTTTTAATGGCAATTTCTCAAAGGAAGATTTTTCAATCAATCCAAGGTCTGTTAAACACTGGACAAAAGAGATTGCTTAGCATTCCACAAATCTTCCTAAAGAGAAGAAATTCTAGAAATACACATTCTGATAATCCTGCAATCAGTTTAAACACAAAAATATTCAGTGTTGAATTTGTTATGATAGTAAAAGATTGGAAATAATCGCAATATCAACAACAGAAGAATACTAAGTAAGCTACGCCCCTTTGAGTATGCTATGTAGTCACTGAAAGCTCTCATGAAGATTATGTGGCAGTATGGGAAACAGCAAGTCAAGCTTAAAAAATATAGAAAATTGGATGTATGCCAGATTAAAAAATTTGTTAAAAACAAGAACATAATGATAGAAAAAAGAATAGGAGGAAATATACACACAAAGATGGGCTGTGCTTGAGTGACTGAGTGACAAAGCTGTTTTTTTTAAGCTTCTAGAAGCGAAATTCTGTCCTATTTATTTCTGTGTAAGCTTGAGATTCAACATAGTTCCTTATCAGTCTTAAGAACAAGTCTGCATGTCTATAGTCTAAACTATAGTCAAAGAAATATCTTAATTCAACAAAGTTTTCATCATACATGAATAGAAGTTTCAAAATGGCAGATTCTAGACATTTCATAAAGAATAACTTCTTAATGATTAGAGTAGTCTAGCCATGCAAACATGCTCCAGCATCTTTCAAATTCAAAAACTGTTCCTTGACCCTATACTATGTCCTGGTTACCACTCCTATTCTTCTTCATAGCCAGATTTCTCAAAAAGATCCACACTCATTATCTTCCTCTTTTGTTTCCAACTCTTGAGATTCTGTGAAATAACTGAAATACTACCACAATGCTTACTTTCAGGAATTAAGAGTATAATACTAAAATATACTGTACAAGAAAAGTACTTTACATAAAAGTTCTAGAAGTATCCTGCACATTATCATATTTCCTACGTTAAGGGACAAAGCACACAATGTGTTATTGAATATACAAGTGAAAAATATGAATATTTTGCGGTCAATAACAAAAACATAGAAAAACATGGCATAATAGGTTTATGTGGGATATACAGAAAACACGGACAAGTTTACAGATGAACAAATGATTAAGTTTAGAAGTTAATATTTAGATTTCCCCCCAAACCAAAACACTAAAGGAATAAGTGAAAAGATATTATCCTCCAATGCAATCTTTTTTTTTAAATGCAATCTCATTAGAATGGGGCACAAGCAGACCAAAATGCAATACACTTTTATTCATCCACTCTAACTTTAGAAAAGACCAAATATATATGCCAGAACATACACCCACACTTAAAGACTGTTCTGTATGTATGAGAAACTCAAGGGAAAAAATGACCACAACTACATGTTGTTAAATTCAACAGTGAGGTGTTGGGCGGAAAAAAAAAAGACGGAAGAGCTAGGAACTCAGAAACCTACCTGAGCATGAGATTCATCAGTTGAAGGCCCTCACCCTTTAGGAAGCGCTCACGATTGGAACTGAGCATCAGGCAAGAACAGAGTGAATCAAACAGATTCTCCATCATCTCCTGTTCCTCAGCTGTGCTAGGATTGTGCCTTTTAAACACCTGCCAAGCAAAGACAGCAGAAAGCACAGAATCATAAAAGAATGTCTTTTCATCAACCACCACTAAACAATTTTCAAAGCCTGCCCATCAGAGTAACTCTACCATTGAGAAAACACAAGTTTACACACAAAATTCTCATTAGTTTTCATTTCAGAGAAACTGAGCTTTTAGATTTATAGCTATTAAATAAATGGGTACCAGTTCAGGCAAAAACACTTAGCTGATTACTGAGTCCATGAGTGATTGTCAGTTCCAAGGAAGTAGATTTAACAACCAAACAAAAACCTCTTATGTGAAATATAACAGATATAGACAACTTCATAAAGGACACACATAGTCAAATGAATAAAGTAATTTAAAACCACTACTGAGTCAAGAAACAACTCTGTCCACTACCCTCAAGCCTACCACTTGCATAATCTAATCAGATCAACTTTTTGTTCCTAAAAATAACCACACTCTACAGGAGTAAATCTTGGCCTAATATAGGAAGAGTTTCCTAAAAACAAACTACTGAAGTGCCTTACACAGGAGATGGGGCTCAAAGTCATGGGAAGGGTTTAAAGTAGGAGCTTTGTCTTTGCCAAAGACGTATGGCATGTTAGGAAGAAAGCCTTTAACAGCATATGCGTACCTATGCAGTCTACTATGAGATGATCAATAATCTCACAGGAAAAGGAATAAGCACCTTCCCAGAATTGGAAACAGATTCACATTTCAAAGCTCTATTTTTGGGGTGCAGGCCAAGCCACTCAGGCTGCTGGCACCAAGATGGAAGCTGTATGCAAACTGACAACTCAGGCACTCCCAACACTCTTAAGATTTTATCTAAATGATTTATTTTCAGTCCTGTTTTTAGAATAACACAGATGAGATTTGTTGGAAGAAATCTTAACAGTATTTTCAGAATGCCAGCAGAATAACATTTCAGTTGAATTTACATCTCTTTCAGTGAGCAAATGGCAATTTCAATTTCTCATTCCAGCCTCCAGTGCCATATCTTTCCCTATCATACTCTGTGACCTTTATCCCATTGCACCTGAACTTAATTCTCTTTGAGTGTCCCTGAATCCTAAATGAACAGACCCCACTTCAGGGGCAGAGTGAAAGGAAAGGAAGTGAGTAATCTTAGGAGAGGGTCAAACGATAGTAGTCTGGTATCCTTGGCCCAAGAACACACGTGTAAGCAGATAGGATAAATGTGTTAGACTGGCAATCTCCTATCAGAGGATGAGGAAAGGCTAGACCAGGTTCACAGTGGGGTGTGGTCAGAAGAGCCAATGACTAAGGAAAGGAGGCAAGTCATGTGCCTCCAGTGTAACCTCCAAGCTGCCCACATGCTCCACGTGGCTTGCATCACATGGCTTGACCCTTCTCACAATTTCTAGCTCCACCTCCCACTTAAAGCAGGCCATGTATCTTCATGGCAGACAAGAAGCATAAGAATTACTCACAGATAACTGCTGAAGAAGCACATCGATTCCATCCAGCTCCCCAAGCAATTCCCTGTTTTCTAAAAGGGGAAAAAAATAGAGGGAGAAAAAAAAAATGAAGCTAACTGTCAGATTTTACAGCCGTCTAACACTGATACATCAGCAAACAAAATCAATACAGCTTGACAGAGTACAAAAGCTGCACAGAGAGCGAGAGGGGAAGCAAGGGGATGCCAAAGGCAAGAGAGCTTGCTGTCATGATCTGAAACAAGCCTGGCTCCTATCCTAACAGAATATCAATACTGAGAGGGAGCCTCACCATCATTGTCCTGGAGCAGGATGGCCAGTACTTCACTGCAATACAGTTTGTTGGCATCAAAAGGCATCTTTGCCTGTGGGGAAATAGGAGAAATGAGAAAACCATTAAGGGGTCTTGCCACTTTGGCCGGGACAAATTTTTCACAAGTCAGACAGAAGTGGAAGTCAGGGAAAAGGGAGGTAAAAGGTAAAAAGAATCTGTCTCTGCTTTCAAGGGACCAGCCCCAAATACAACATAGTAAAAGACAGATGGACACAATGGCTCTCCTACTCCTAATACCCAGGTATAAGTAACACCTCCTCCAGAAAGCATTCCCTGACTCCTCAGTTTGAGTCCAGAGATTATATGGGTCTAAGATAAACAAAAGAAAGCTTTGAATTCTTAAGATTAAAACTCATGAAGCTTCCTTCACAAATTAGAACCACACAATAAGTCTGTACATTAGCTGACACACAATCAGAGAAGTAGAAAAGAATGCAATTTCTTGTTTAGATAGGCTCAATGTATTTATAACAAAGTGGTTCCTTTTGGATTTTTTTAATGTTTAAAACTTAATTTGAAGTCATAAACCTATCTGCTTGTATGCTGTAATCTGCCTACTATTTAAAAAGGAAACCACATTAAATATGTAAAAATGTGTTAATATTTTAACACCCCAATTACTACCCACAATTCTTACCCTGCTGCGTGCTCTACTTGGGAGATTCACAGGGGACACATCTACTGCACAGACCATCTCTCATAGCTGTCCATACCATTGCTTCAGCAGCGGTGAGACTTAAATATCTCACCAGTAACAATGCCCTTTGCAAACCTCTGTATGTGTTTGTATTCGGAGTACCCATGATCCTTAAGAGGCAGGCACATAGACAACAACTGTTAATCTGCAGCAGCCTTTGCTACCAACCTAGGTTTCTGAAATGACAAATAATTTCCTTACTTGCAGAGGACGGGGGAAGTGTTTATCTTGGAGCTAACACTTCCATCACCTTCGTGCCATTCACAGCTCTGTTTGGACATTGATTTTGTACTTAAGAAGGAAGAGCAGAGCCTAATAAGCAGCATCCAAGGCCACTGCAATTTTCTGTGCATGGTTTCCTCAGCAAACCTAAGTGCACCCCACAGGGCTTCAGGCGGCGGACTGGGTCTGACCCATCTTAGCTTAAAAGGTCTGTAAGTACAAGGTCTTACATGTGCTGACTGCACAGTATGCTCCCTGGGCAAGCTTGAAGCCTTCTTCCAAGAAATCTGCGCAACAGCTGGGGCTTAAATGCAATCTTTGGTATGTTTCACTTTAAGAAAAACAGTTTTAGAAGAATCAAAACACAAAGGTGAAACACCAAAGGCTAAGCATCTCTGTCAGAATCAAGGATTGGCTGATAAAATTTCTTACTCAAATTACTTAAATCCCCAGTATTGCTATTATATTTTAAGCTATTTTATCAACACCAACTTATATGCAAGGGCCAAATTTTTTCAAGGGCCAGCTTTCTCCTTTGAAACAGACATATTTAATTGAAAGAAGCCTGAAGAAATTAGAACTCTAGAACAAGAGCTTTTCTGTGGTTCCTTTCCTGTTTTTTATCTGGTTTTATAAACTCCCTCCAAGTCAGTGGATAGATTTTCTTCTCCTTTCAATAAATACTTACTGGATATCTGCTATGTCCAAGACACAGAATTAAGCACGACAACAAACAAAGGTAACTTAGAACTGAACCTTGTCTACAACATTTGTATGTATTATACTGAACTCAAATTAAATGCACAGTATTTAGGGGTAGAGTCCAGTTTAAAAGAATACATATGAAAAAGGACATGGATCTCAGACATACCAAGTTTGACTCATGAGCATGTGCCACAAAGTCCCAAAGTCTGTGCTGAGGCAACCAGGGTGCTATGATAAATTTACCATAGGATATTTTAAAATTTTCAAGGAAAACATGACACTCGACATCTACTGAGCACTGTACTAACTGCTAGCCCAAAGGACATTTCTTTTGCTGACATCATATTTTTGTGGAGCTGGGTTGGGGAGTGGCTATGATTCTCTCGAAATTGTGTGAAAATCATGTGGATTAGGGATGAGGACAGTGGTGTTCTCTCTGATGCCCAGGTTTGGGAAGCTGTACAGCACCCAAAGGGTACGCACATTTAAGAATGAAATAAAAGTATGTTTTCTTTCCATTTACATGTATTCTTTTTTTCAAAGAACTAGTCAATTGTTAGGACACAGATACATGTTATATTATTTGGACCTAACTAATTAATAAGTAAATATGACTATTAGGTACTTTTTGACAGGGGGGTGCTGTAAAAACAAAAGTACTAAGATAGCAAGAGTACCATGCATTGATAACTGGATTCCATGACCCAAGTAACATTTTTTGGTGTTTCCTCATTTGTAAAATGGAAATTAAAAATAACACTTCTTCAAAGAGTTAACTAAGAATGTGAACTTACATACAGTACATACTACAAGTTTTTATAATGACTGGAATCAGAAATATCCGAGTTAGAATCTCAGTGATGTGATCTTGGCCAAACACTCTGCCTCTCTCACCTAATTTCTCTGATGTTGCACTATCTTCATTATGAAGTGGCTACACTGAATGAACTGTTGTGTACATAACAAGCATCCGACACCAGGTTTACCTCTCCTCAGGAGTCCTTGTTCCCCAGGAAATCTTCAGACTTTGGATAAATTGGACACCACTTACCCAAGGTAAAATTTTAAAAATCAAAATCAGAATTTTGTCATTTTTTTCTTAAAAGTTAAGCCCTTTGACTGAAAAATAGGCATCAAGGAGAGATTTAATCAGGAAACCAAAATAATCAGGCCCTACAACTCCCAACACTGAGCTCCGAGATGCCTCAGAACCCAGCCGTTGGGAAGTAGCGTGGCAAGAGGAGGCAGGTTTGGAGAAACCCAGGCCTGATCACTCCTCCTCCTTCCATGGAGTTTGGAAGAGACATTTCCCTTCTCCGGGATTCTTTCTTAGGCTCTGGGACAGGGGAATGACTGCTTGTTCAGGTGCCGAAGCAGCAGCACTGGGGATAACTGCATGCTCTTGGCATGGTAGGTAGGTTGTGCAGATCAGAAATATATATATAAGAATCTAGAAAAATATTTTGCATCTAATAGGCAGTTAATACATGAAACTTGTTATAAGATGGAGAAAACTTATAATGATGATAATAACGACAACCAAATATTTTAATCTAGTGGAAAAGAAATAAAAGAAACTAGGCCAGGTAGAAAGAAAGGAAACTAATCTTTCATGTCTAGCCAAGAACAAAACTTACCATGGAAATTTCATTTTTGTTTAAATCTTAGTCAGAGATTACAAAACTACCAAACTACAAGGACATTTTATCAAAATCAGATGAAAAGAGAATTCCCTTAGCAAGTACAGTCTCTTGGCTTCACAAACTAAACTAGTGGGACTTGGAGCTTACAGTGCTCTCTTCTATCCAGAAGCCTGGTGATCCTAAATCTTTCAGCTGTCACAGTAATTACAGAATCAAGCATAGGTTTGTACTCAGCATGTATTACCCTTGAATAAAATTAAACTTCACCTTTGTAGGAGCTGCTGATTTTTGGAAAGTACAAAGCAATTATGCTACCACCTGCAGCCAGAAAGCTGTAGGTTATATCTGCAGCTCACCTCTGGTACCTGGAACACACAGAGCAGGTTGAGACATACCTACGGCCCTATGCAACTGTCAGAGCAGACCTGGCCCTGCAAAATCTCAGCCTCTGATCCTCAGGTGCTAAGGACTTTTGAATCAATCTGTTGTACATATAGTAAAACTTAACCAATTCTCAATTCATTAACTCATGTGCTGAATGCTGCAACTGTTTTTGAAGCATTGATTTAACTGGAAAACAACTGGGAATCTTCTTTAAAAAAGAAAAATAAAACTTCTGACTTTGGTATTATTTTCAATAGTATGTAATATCTTAGTAAATTTGTATTTCCCCTTTTAAAATTACATGTGATGCAGTGTCTTTTTCATCCGTTAGCTTTCTGTTTACATTCTAATCCATTTAGTGCAATTGTCTGCAATGGGTTTTATCCTCATTACAACAAATTAGTAAGGTTTCACCTGGTGGATGAAAGTATCCATGAATATCTCTGCATACTGCTAAGCTACTAGTACAGAATAAAGAAATCCAACACTAAAATGTCTATCACCAACACGCCACTCACTTAAGAATTACTCAGCAATTATCGAGTGGGGGATGATCAGCCAAATAACAATGTTTTACCCAGCTATCTAGACCTAAGCATTCTAGAACCTTAGTTCTCAGACTTTAATTCATGTCAGAATCAATGGTTTACAAAAACACAAATTGCTGGGCTCTACCCCCAGTTTTGAAGATGGGAGTGGGGATAATTTGCATTTCTAACAGGTTGAAAGGTGGTCCTGAGGTTCCTGGCTGGGAACTACTTTTTGAGAACAACTGAAGGAGACACAAATATTAAACATCCAGACTTTGTCAGGGAATTCAATGTTTAGCAAAAGCAAATGAGCACACAAAACATGAAACTCTAAAGATGAAATTATCTCCACAGATGTTCCACATGAGTATTACACAGTTATAGGTACACACTGGAACCAAGATCCACACACAAAAAAACCATTATCTGAAAGAGCTTATTTTCAGAAAAGAAAGGGCATTATAGGCAGGGGTCAAAACAGTGCTATGGAAAGGGTGTGTGCAGAAAATTCTGGAGGCATGTAATCACAACTCTATTTCTAGTGGTATGGGTTTGGGCAAAGCACTTAATGTCTATAGGTCTCAACTCATAGTTTTTAATTCATAATAGACTTTTAAATTTCCTCAGTTCTAAAAGTGATGAAGGATGCATGGAGTAGGGATTTAAGCTTTCTCAAGAAGGCTGTATGGAACTTAGAACAAAGAAGGGAATCATGCCTAGTGGAGGCAGGGACATGAGGCAAAACCTGACAGAGGTCAAAACATTTTGATCTTTGCAGAGCACAGAATAGGGAAGGGAGGTATTTTAAATAGGCAACAATGGCTATGCTGGTTCAAAATTGAGAAATGAAAAGGCTGGAATGTGCCAGGTTATGGGGCCTTAAAAGGAATGCCCCAGGTAGAGGCATTAGTATCATCAGAAATAGCTTCCTAAATAGGCCTGGCAATTGAAAACAGGGTCTTACAACAGTCTGCACAATAAGAATGGAGAACAACAAGGTTCACATTTCTAGAGACCAGTGGCTCTTAGTGAGGGTGGTCCATTAGAATCACATGGGGAAAAAAGAAAAGCTGCCTGGGAATATAGCACTTGCCTGCTTGGCAAGTGCAAGGTCCTGAGTTTGAATCCTGGTACACCCCACCAAAAAAAAGAATCACATGGGGAACTTTTCTAAAATATACCAATGACTGCCAGGCACGGTGGCGCATGCCTGTAATCCCAGCACGTGGGAGGCTGAGGCAGGAGGATTACTGCAAGTTCAAGGCCAGCCTGAACTACACAGCAAGACCTTGTCTCAAAAGACAAAAGAAACAATATAGTATAGTATAATATAATATAATATAAAATATACCATGGCAGAGACTGAGAAAGTAGGTCAGGGGTATAGTCTGGGACTTTGCAGTATTTAATGCTGCACTTGACCTTAATACAAAGCCCCAGCTGAAACTCATGGGTATAAAGATCTTTACAACTTAAAAACATTATTACATTTGGTCTTCACAATAACCCTGTGAGACTAGAAGGGTGGGGAATATGATCCCCATTTTTCAAAGGAGAAAACAGAGACAAAACATGTGCAAAGTACACTGCCTGTGGTCACACAGAGGGATCTGGGTCCAGCACTCACTCTGACTCACTACGATGTACTTCCCTTGACGGCAAGAAATAAGAGCAAGACATCACTTTTAAAGACATGCCCTTTTGATGGCTTCACCCTTAAACAGAATTTCCTTTCATCAGTGTTCTGGACAACACAGGAGTTTTCAAAGGGAACATAACCAAATGATATTCTTTTTTTCCAAATGATATTTTAAATACCCTGAAACTTTGAAAAACTGTTTCCGAGATAGCAACATGACTATTTGTGCCCTGAGGATTGCACAAACAATGTGCCTGTGAGGCACAAGTCAACACTTGCTAAAATATCAAATGAGGCTCTATTACTACATGAGGGTAACAGAACCTAAGCTAAATACCCAAAGGTCTCAACTTCCCTTCCTATGTAACTATTCTCCACTGTGTCCCTCCCCAAAAACTCTACCAAGGTTTAATATCTTTCAAACAGCAGAGGAGGTCTGACCTTTCGGTTTAATGAAAGATCCTTGAATCGACCCTAAGTCTCAAGTAACTAAGGAAAAACTTGTCCTGACTTCACAATCACAAAAAATAATTGTATTATTTTGTACATTTTAAAGTTGGAGCCTCAACCTGTGGTCACTCCACCAACAACTCCGGTTCCTGCTATCTATCCCAAGCCCTTAACTGGATTCTAGTTTCTTATCCTCCACCCTTTATTCCCAAAATGTTTCAAGGCTTTTGAAAACAAAAGTAAGTTGAGGATTGTGAAAAGCACCTGGGTTTAGGGAAATATGAAGGGAATGATACAACTGCAGTTCTCAGACCAAAAGACATCCAGATGCAGAAAGGTGCAAAGATGTTAATGCATGAATTCACCACCTGCTGAGTGTAGGACTCAAAGGAAGGATCAGTTCAAAGATCAGTGTACTGAACTCTGCCAGGCAAATGTGCCCATGCTCACTGAGAGTAATAGCTGGGCTAGCTGAAAATCCTCCATATGATACATTAGTCTACATAAATGAGTTAATAGGAGTCAATGGTTAAACAAGTAAGAACCGGGAAGACTCACATTGTCAGAGTGGAAGGGAACTACAGGGCATATGCAATCGTGGGCAGAACCTTTTCTCTTAGCCCTGAAAAGGCAGTGGAGGATGAATCTGACCTGATACACTCCAGACTTTTTGGGTCTCTATAATACTCTAAAGAATGGCAAGCTCATGACCATTTTGAGAATCACTCTCACTACTAACGAGTGCTTCCTCCTCACCAAAAGGTTGAAATTCTCGTCTGACTGACGATCACTGTGCAGCATATAACCAGTTCTGCCTTCCATCACATCTTGAGTCAAAGCTGTGCTAAAAGAATAGCTTTGCCCTCCTCCTCATTTATTCTATGAGACAGCACTAAAAAGATGGTCAAGGACTACGTTCAGAAAGAGAATGAACAAGGCGGGCATGGTGGTGCACGTCTGTAGTCCCAGCACTCAGGAGGCTAAGGCAGGAGGATTGTTACGAGTTTGAAGCCAGATTGGACCACTTAGTGAGTTGAAGACCAGCCTGAACTGCACAGTGAGACCCTGCCTCAAAGAAAAAAAAAAAAGGAGAAAAAGAATGAACTGAAATATGGAAAAGGATATAAACATGAAGTTAAAAGAGATGAATACAAATTGCTGATAAACAACTAGAAATCAATATACTACTTGATTTTAAAATTTCAAATTAAACTAATACCAATTTTCACTTATCAGATTAACAAAACTTGAAGCTTGATAATATCCAATATTAGGAAAGTGGGAAAGACATCCTCAGATCAATGGGGAACAAGTTTGCAATGCCTACCAAAAATATTAAGGTGTACACCCTTTGGCCTAGGAATTTCTATAAATTCCTAGGAATTTATCACACAGATAAACTAAGATGGGTGTGCAAGAAAAAAAAGAGTACATATATGAAGATATTCTCTGAAGCATTGTTTATAACAGGCAGAAACTTATAACCAGGAGAGTGGTTATATTGCCTTTGGTATATATGTATAATGGAATACTAGGCAATCACTACTTCACTGAAATTCTGCGTTAAGAAAAAGTATAGTTCTGTTTGTGAAACACATGTAACACTCTCCTACAGAGGGACCATGTACATAGCTGGCAGATATATATGCAGAAATTTCTGGAAAAACATAAAATATTGTCAATAGGGGCTGCCTTTAAAAGCAGACTGGAGAGATCCTTTTTAAAAGAAAAAAAAGGATAAGCAAAGAAAGAGGCACATGATATCAGAAGCTATCCAAACTAGAGCAGGGGAGAAGATCTATACCAGCAGCTATGCCCAGAGTTGTGAGGTCTGAGCAGCAGCTCCCCAAAGCCACACTTACCTTCAGCCTCTTCAGCAGCCACTGCAGGAGTCCCTGCTGGGCAGCCTCTGTACACATCTCAGGCCGGAACTCAGCCATGTTTTCCACAATAGCTGAAGGGAGACAGACACAGTCACTGGGGAGAACAATTTTGTTTCTATCTAATAAGCTTGCTTCCCATGATAGGCATTTTATTTCTTTTCCCACTTCCCTGTATTCCTCCCAGCCAGATGCTATGTTGTCATTTTTAGATTAACCCAGGGAGTTGCTCTGGTTTTTGTTTGTTCTATTACAAGTAAAAGTCAAAACTGAAGATGACGGAATTCACAAAAGGGATAAGCGATAGGTCTTCTATGCTAATAGGGACCAACACTACAGCGGATCACAGAAGGATGGACATCTGCCCAGGAGGCCTCGTAGGCCCTGGTTTACTGGAGCCCCAGAGACCTGTTAACTAAAGAGAAGGGGCTAGGCAGAAATCTCAGGAAAAAATTACAGGGTGAGGAATCCTTTTTTAATCCATTCATTTTTAGTTCTATTCTCTGCACCGTAAGGAAACAAAGACATTGCCAGGGAGGCAAGCATGGCCTTCTTAATTGAACAAAATGATGTACAAAGAGGGGAAAGGTCATGCTGCCAGAGGTAGCTGCCAGAACTAGGAAGCAAATAATTGGTCCTGCTCAGCCAAAGTGTTGTTTAATAGAAAAACTGAAAATCAGAAGGAACAAAGAAAAAGAAAAGCTATTGTATGACTATGATACCAAAAGGAAAACATTAAAAAAATATAGCACCTATGTCCTTATTATACCAAATACTTTCCTTCAAGGCTTGTTCTTCCTTAGAATATGATACTATCACAAAGCAAGTAGTTTTGTGTTCCCTAAGCACAATGCTCAAAATACACTGGGCAGGAATTCTGAAAGAGAAAGTGCTGCAGAAATCCACACACCTGCCATCTCCTTCCTCTCTCGTTTGCCCAGGTTTTGGTCTCACCAAGGCCAAGTGAAAACTGGGCAGCTACTGGATGCAGGGAACACAAAACCATGGGAGCAGAATAGCAATGAAATCCCTGAGAGATGGACATCATTACGATACCCTCAATTACTTTCTCACATTTTCTTTAAAAAAACTCATTCATTTTAATTTCTTATGCCTTTACCTTATTCTTCTGCTTAAATTTTAGATGGCTTCCTATTGCCCACTGACAATTTCGCCAATTCCATTATTCTGTTCCCTCTTTGTTCTAGACTTTCCCACTATCTTGCCGTGGTTTATAAGGTCTTCCAAGGTCTGGACAAACTTACTACTGACATTCTCCCATGTCCTGCTGCCACAGTACATGTCTAATCTTTCCCAAAGTCCATGCCCATGCCTGACTTTGCAAATCATACCGCCCTGCCCACGGGCTCTTCTCCACTCCTCCACCTGTCAAAATGCACCTATCTTCTTATTCAGCCCCAACTGGTACCTGCTCCTATCTGACAATTTGGAGACACTTCTTTGTCACTTTCACACTGCTTTTCACCAGTTCCTATTATATCATTTGTTACTTAGTATTATGTTTCCCTTTTGTTTTAGACTTTCTCATCAGTCTGTCCCTTAAGAGCAAAGCCCTGCCTGATTCATTATCATTTCCCCCGGTGCTTAGCATAGTGTCTCACAAACACCAAGCACTTAATAAGGAAAGTAAGGATTAATTTCCTGAGCTGCTGGTAGATGTCCAAGCTGAAAATAGACAGACCTCTGCAGACTGCCAGGTTGGTGCTTGCTTTATTATACCAGGCTCTTTTTTTTTTTATTAACAGTCAGTTAAAACTTTTGACAGGCTTTTGCTTCTGCAAAATTCAGCATCAGGCTAACAGATGGCAATGCCAACTTCTGGCTCTAGACTAGAACCAACCCACAAATGACAGCCTGTTGTGTTTTCTCCTTTCTCTCTCTCCTGAGATGCCCATCTCCTCTCTTCTTTGTGATAATCCTCACTGAAGAGTCTAGAACTACAAATCTGTGGTAAATACAAAGGAGCAGGGAGGAAAATCCAGTCTCATAAAAATTTCTACTTCTGCTGTGCCTTGTTCAGTCCTTGAGCTCAGCTTACAGATATGTCACCTCTGGTTTTATGAGACAGTGGCCAGTGATAAAGAGAACTACCCAAAAACACAATTTTAAATAGGCTATTGGTTTTTTGACTTTGCAAAAGGAAAAACTGGGGAAATTCAAGGAAAAGAAAGAGGAGAAATACTGCAAAGAAATCCACTTAAAGGATCGTAGGACACAGGAGCTGCCAAGCTAGTAGTAATATTTCAACTCAGAATTTCCATAGCAAGCTATACAAAAAGAAAGGGAAGAAACATTAAAACATAGTTTAAGAAAAAAAAGGTCCTTCCTCTAAGGGTACCTAGTTGTTCAAAGTGTGTAGTTGCTAAGAAACACCAACACAAATGATTTTAAATTTTGAATATATACTTTCCAAAGGAAGACAGGGCTCCTGCATAGATTTTATCCTACATTTTGGAGGCAAAGGTCTGCTAAAAGGAGCCGGTGGTTTTTGTCTTGGAAGGTTACCTACTTGGGGGATTTCTCCCTTTATTACCGGCAAGCCAAACCAAAGCTGCAGTTATTGCAATGTACACACGGGTCTTCATTTCTGAAAAGGCAGTTTAGGAGCAGAAGGAAAGAAAACACTCCCATGTGGACTCCATTATGAAGGAGGAAGAGGAAGGAGCACCAGGCGCCTTTTGCTCACCCAGAGTGTTGTGGACGCCATCCGCCTCCTCTCGCACAGACTCATCCAGGCGCTCCAGATTCTGCACCAGCAGCGCTACCACCTGCCCGTCCACCTGCAGAAAAGGGAAGCAAAGGGAGAGAGGGACAGGTCACAGATGGGTCTCCCAAACGTCCCCGCTCCCATATTCATAGCTTCACGATTTGAATGAATAAAGTACAAACAGAACCAGTAACCTGCGGTTTACAATGCACTCTGCCATTTTGTTATTTCTCATGCGTCTTGCAGTGACCCTGAGATGAGTAGGCCAGGTGTGCCTCCTCCTCCTCAGTGGTTCTTCCCCACCTTACAAGAACACTAGTGGAGGTTGGGTCAGCAGTTCACTTACCCCAAAACCTTTTTTTATGCCAGAACCAGAGGTGTTCAGGTTTACTAGCTACACTTTATGCTGACCTTGGAATTTAGGGCTACACTCAACACATTCTCACTTTACATGCTAAGCTTTTATGAAACTACTACTTCAAAATTTCTATTTCCCTCTTAAAAAGAGTAATATCAACGTAACAAAATGCCTTATATTCAGACTATATAATGCAGTAAAAAGCTATTGTGTACTCTTATTTGATTCACACATTTTAGATAAATAGGAAATTTGCAGTAGCATGTCATACGGTAGGAGACTGGTGACTCTGCTAAGACCACACAGCCACTAAGCAGGGGCACAAGCCAGGCTTCCTTCCTCTTAGGTGAAGAAATGCTTTTTCTACCTTCTGTGGACAATTTATGCTCTGGGGAGATTGCCCTTGGGCAACCTTGAGGCACAACAGGGAAGACAACTTAGGAAACCCCTGATTTTCTATCATTCAGAAGCATTATCCATTGTAGATTTTTAAGCAGGCAGCCAAGAAGACACAGTCCGCTACATACTTGTGGTATGTCTTCCTCCATTATGATGTGGGGATAAACTGCAAAGATTAATGAAGATGATATGTCTTGCCCTGGGTTTAGTAAAGGCAGCAGCTTCAAAATTCAAGAACACAGTTTGAATCTAGTCTTTTTACCCCTCCTGATACATGATTATCCCCAGTGGCTAAGCAAAGACCAAGTTCACTGAAGGCAGATACCTCACCTCACTCATCTTTGTATACCCTTTAAAACTTAGTACAATGTTATACATGGAAAATACTCAGCAAACTTTCCTAAACTGAAATAAATGGATGGGACACTTTGTGCATTATAATTAGCTCATAAATAATGCTCTATTTATCCTCATGTAATCCTCACAGCTTTTATAAGTGACAAAACAAAGGCTCAGAGGGGTTAATTAGTCTGGCCAACATCACAAAGCTGTGGCAGAAGCGACTGACACTGAAAACTCTATTTTTTCCCATTATCACCCTTTACTTACTTTGTCAAGAGGAGAGAAAAGAGAGAGAAGGAAATTATCTCATTCAACCAACACTTCCTGTGCACTTGTATGGGAGGTGGGCACTCTACAGGCCTAATTCAAACAGGCTTTGGATGGAAACAATGCCAAGAGGATAGATCTTGAAACGTGAGCTTTGCTCTTTCTGGGTGAGATTCAAGGGAAACATCTAGACAAGGGGAAAACCTAAAATTATTGACCAGTTCGCAACACCCAGACCACAAGAAATTGCACTTTCCTAGGCTCTCCTTTGTGCCTTAGTGGGAGGAGCAATGAGGGGATACTACTGAAGAGGATTCTGCCGCCCAAATTGAGAATACTTGTAAGTATAAGAAAGAAACTTCTCCCTTCTTCTACCAGGAGACATACATCTTCCTCTCAAATCTCACAGCCAGCAAGTGTTACCTAAGAAACCCACTACAATGTTTTCCTTTATTAACCGGACAATTTCTGTGAGCGAAAGCAGAAAAACATCTAGGGGGAAAGTATGAACCATGTCACAGTTTGTTTTTCCCTAAATCACCCTGATTGACTTATAATCCCCCTGAATTCTAAAGCGGCAGATACTGCAACTCTGCCACGTATCACACTGCTCATCAGTTCTGCCAACTGCTTCACCAGTTTCGCTTGCTTATTGCTGCTTTATCTGCATTAATTTTTTCCCCTTTTCCTTGATTCTTACTTATGCTTCCCATCTCTGCTGTCTGGAAATTGGCAGGAACAGTGACAGTGAGCAACTTGGTTAAATCCTAGAGCCGAATGGTTACAGATAATGGGCATCTAGCTGGAGGAAAATCTTTTTTTCTTGCTACAGAAATCTAACTTCTAACAGGCAACCTTTTTAAGCTTGCAAAGTGTGAAACTTTATGTTTATCTGGGTTAAATGCAATTTTATCTGATTGCAGGATAGCCAAAAGCAGTCAAAATACATTTAGCTCAGAAAACCCTTGGAAAAGTATTTATATTATGCATAGCTCTGGATATTGCCTAGTAAGAAGTACAAATTAGCATTCTATCCTACTCCCTCTAACCCCTTGGGTCTATCTTCAATTTTCTGGACCTGCGACGAAGTCTGAAACTAAAAACAAATCCTGCTCGGGGATTAAAGCATCAGCCAGAGCAACAGTGGTCTTGGAAATCAGGGCTGTCTTAGGCCTGAGGTTTCCTGATAAGTCTCCAGGTATTTCTGCTTGTTAGCAGGTCTCCCAAACCATATTCCATCAGGTCTTACTGAGACCAAGTTCAAGGGCATGACCAGACATCTTTTCCCCCTTGACCAAAGAGGATAGACATAAGAGAAAAGGAGGAAATAGTGACAGATGAGAGGGTTTTAAGGGTTCTTTTTCTATCTGGTACAACCTAACAATGTTTCCTTAAGACTTATGTTAAGAATTTTTCTACCTTTTAGGTGTTTCCAAATTTTTGTATTTTTAAAAAAAGGGAAGAATAAAACTGCACATTCATTGACTCTTTTTTCTTTGTTACCGGGAACTGAACTCAGGACCTTGTGCTTGCCAGGCAGGCGTTTGTAGCGCTGAGCTATCTCTGGCTCACTGACTCTTCATCAAACAAGTTTTGAGGATCCATATGGTAATATGGTCATCATGCAAAACTCAGGCCTATTGTCATTTACCTACCTAATGGTATTTTAACTTCTACTCTTTTACCACCAACCCACTATTCATGGCAGCTGCCAGAGTTGTCCTTTTAAAATGTTTGCTCAGACTACATTACCAATTCCTTGCTTACACTTGTCCACACTGGTAATCCTACCCCCGTCTCTCACCGAGGCCCACAGTGCTTGATCTTGACCTCGTTCTCCTCACCTGACTACACTCTACTGAGATGGCCTTGTCTTTCCTTCATTAGGTCAAGTTCATTCTTGTTTCAGTCTCTGCCCTTGTCCCACCTTGCTCTGAATGACTTATTTCTTCTCCTCACTTAGGCTTCTCTTGACAATGGAATCCAACCGGACTTCAACATATCACTCAACATCACATAACTCCATTTTAATTCTCCATTTAACAAGGAATCACTATAGTAGTTTTCTTGTTTCCTTATTAATGTTTCTTCCTACATTGAGATATAAGCTCCACCAAAGCAGAGAACTTTATCAGTCATATAGCTACTCAGTTCTTAGGACCAGGAACATGCCAAGCATTTAATAAACATTTAGTGAATAAAGGAACAAGAGAATTTTCCTTAGGAACAAATAGTTTAAAGTGAGAAATTAATGGAAACAGGAAGGGCCAGGATCCAGAAATTTACACAGTAAGCACTCTTACAGCAACATGAAGTCTGCCTAGCTCAGCCTTGCCTGAATAGCACAGAGATAATGCCAACTAGGTGTGAGCCACACCAATCTGGAGCTCGAAGTTCAACATTTAGGTAGGGTTAACTGAAGGCAAGAATGAGTAGTTCCCTAGCTCTCAACATCAAAGCCATCTTTGTGAAATTCCTTACAGCAAATGGTGACTCCCTGCCAACTTCACAGCCCAGCTACACTTCCACCTGCTCTGGCTATGACACCTTCCAGAAGCCACAGTCAATACCGGCAACTCTATAGTCCTTCCTGATTATTCCCCATCAGAATTCACCTTCACTTCCACAGAGGCCTATACCTCACAGTTGTTCTCAATATTCTGTCTTGTATTATCAAATCACTACTTATTTCTTCCCCTTCTAAGAAAAAACTAAATTGCTATGTTGGCATGTCTTATTTAGGCCCATGCCCTCCAAAGTTTTTTGAACACTGACACAAAATGTTTTCTGAAACATTTTTTGAGCTGAAAAAGTGAGTTCAACAAACATTCACAAACATCTCACTGTGCAGCAGATGCTATTTATCATATCAACTGACTTTACTAAGTACTTAATATCTATCTGCCAGGCATGATACCTGTACAGCAATGATGGTCAATATTTATTGGGTGTTTATCTGTGCTAGACTGCTCTAAAGACTTACTACATATTTCACGTATTCCTCACTTTGATGCTACTGTAATTTCCACTTTATAGACAAGAAAAGAGTAGGGAGTGACTTTCTCATGACCACAGAGTTGGTATATGACAGAGCCACCACTCAAGATAATCTGGTAGATGGGGATCACAACTTAGGAAAGACAAACTTACAAACAAAGGTCTATAATCGAATGTGGTAAAGTTTCATGACTTACAATGTGATAAGAAACACAAACGCTGCTGAGGTGCTAAGTTTGGAAAAGTCACAAGAGCTAGCTAGGGTTTAAGTTAGCTTTAAGCAATGAGAAGTATTCCAAATGGCCTCACAGAGGCCAGGCATGCCAAGCTGAAGGCAGGAGCTCAAAGGCACAAGACTGCCAATCTCATAGCAAGTGTGGAGACTAGTAAATAAGAAAATGACTACAGTCTAATGAGACTCTCAAGGGTTTCCAAATTGGCTTTGGAGAGGCAAGCCAGAGAACTGCCATTAAGCAATACACCTTCACATTACTCTCTAGAAAATGAGTCCATTTTCTAAGCTCTGGATTAATTTGTTCCGAAGCACAAATATTTGCCCTTCATATAAAGAATAGCAGTGAATGTGAACCAAAATTTAAAACTTCAAAGATCTCCAAAAATGCCAGGATAGCACTCTTTTCCCCACAAATGTGCTATTCTATTGCTTGGGACTTCCAACTGGGAAAAACACCAAGGCAATAATCTCAAACTGCACACCACAATAAATCCTGCCATGTGCCCTCTAGCCTCTGCTCAAGCAATTCTAGGCCTCCGATATTGGCCCCAAATTAAAACTACAAAGACAATTCAACCCTTGTAATAAGAGAATACGTATCAAACTTCTTCCTCAATGTGGCACAAGTGTAGAGAAAAATAAATGGAAGACCACTCTCCGGTTCTGCTCTCTGATATTTACTGATGGCTTCTGACTCATTGCAGAGAAGCCAGTAATATATTAACAGTCTGCAATGTACAATGTTTGTGATTCACACCAGGCCCACCAGGATAAAGCTATGTGTCAAAATCTTAAAAATAATATAATCATAAAAAAGAAACAAACAGAAAGCCCTGTACAGCAGCTACCTAATGGCTCCCAAGACTGAGGATGAACTGTTTCTTTCCAAACAGACAATAAAATCTGCAAGATCCAGACTTTGTCGGTGGGCTTGGCAACACGAAGGACACAAAAGGGGCTTTGTGTGAACTGCAGCTACTGGGCAGGTTTTACATACAGCAGCCAGGATAGCTGTTCCTCTCTTGTCTCCTCCATTCACCCGGGCAAAGGATGGTAATTAAAACCAGCCCAGGGACCAGGCAGGAAGGCTCACTCAGGGCCACCGTAATTAACCTCTGGAAGGTAACACCGCAGAAATCACACTGTGGGGATATAGCTCAGGAGCAAGTGGCACAGCCTGCCTTCAGATGCTCCTCAAAACAAAAGGACACTCCAGCAACATCCTTTTCTTTCTGTACAGTGCTTCTAAGGAAAAACAAAGGTCCTGAAACTTACAAAAGTGGCAGTTTGCTCAAGGAAAGGGTTTGAAAGAAAAATGGTCATAGAAATTTCCATCATAATTGAACACAGCCCTGCTGGACTCCAGCCTTGCTCTCTGTGAGATGGTTCTTCACATCTAGTGGGTTCACCATCCCTTCACTCACACCAAATGCCAGCAGTAAGCATGGCACAGGGGCAGTTTCTGGTGTTGAGGACCTTAAGAGAAAGAGAGAAGGTGGGTTGTGCAGAAGCGGGGTGGGGGTGTGTGTGTCTCAGAATCATTTAGGGGCCCTGACCCAGCGAATCTGATGCAGCAAGTCTTGGGAGGGGCCAAGAAGCAGCCTAACAAGCACCCAGATGCTTCCAACCCATGCTTCCCAGTGGCTATAGTGATTGCTGATAAACTCTGCGAAGTGCGCTGACTTAGTGACTTATCAAGACCCTGTCTCAAATAAAACACAAAAAGGGCTGGGGATGTAGTTCAGTGTGAAGGCCCCGGGCTCAATCTAAACTACTAACTAAGCAAACACAAAACAAAATAAACAAAAACACCCAAAAGTACTTACTGATACTGTGTCAGAGAGAAAAGGCAAGAGAAATCAACAAAAGGGAAGGGCCAAGGGAGACCCACAGAGCTGGAGGAGGGAGATAGCTAGGTGAGTGGACAGAGCTCCACAGGTAGAATCAGGGCTGGCTGTGGTACCTTTTCAGCCTGGAGCTCCCCTTTGATCACCAGCGGGAGAGGGAGTCTGCTGTGATGGGAAGAGAACTGTGGTGAGGACCAGAACATGTAGGCTCTGTAGTCAGCTGTCACAGGCCTGGGTGAATGACCCAGTGGTAGGCTTCATGACTGCCTCTGGGCTTCCACACACATCAGGTGATTGAACTAGATGGGACCTGGCTGATAGGGCTCACCTCACGTACCAACTCCTTTGGGCTGGCTGCTGCCTGCAGCAGTGGCTGAAGATGAGTGTGAGGCCTGGCCCAGGTTCACAGAAAGAAATGTAGATGCTACACAGCTCCAGCTTCAGGCAAGGGATAAACTCTGGCCTAAAGGAGCTATAAAGTTTGTTCTGGTTTTAACATGCTCCAATTGTACTCTCATAACTTATCTATAAAATAAGTAGTATTGTAATACCTGCCCTCACTGGCACTTGGGATTATAAAGCCCTAAAGAGAAAACAAGTATCTACAAAAGCTCTTTATAAAAAACGTCAACAGCAACACAGTGGGGGGAGGGGAACATGACGTTAAAGAGAACACAGGTTCAGATTCCAGCTCTGTGACCACAGGGAAGTTGTTCTACCTCTCTAAACCTTGGCTTCAGAACCACACATAGGAATAACAGCAATAGTATCCATCTGCAAGGATGTAGTAAGGATTAAACAGAACGAACAGAATGGGAAATGGTCTGCCTACAGCAAATATTTAATAAATGCTGGCCTTCTTTAGTTTCTTCCCTAACACAGTCCCACAGAGTAAAGTACCTCACAGCTTGTATTTCTATTTCTTATTTCCTTCATTCTGTCTAGCCTTGCCACAGAATTCTACTGATACCACTCAGACACAAAGGTGGGGTGACAACCCATACCTACAAAACCCTGGGTGGAGGGCATCAACTTACCAGAGCATCGATGAGAACTTCTGCTCCCTCTTCACTCTCATGGAGGGTGTCTATATCTGTTAGTTCCTGAAGTAAGTCAACCACAGCTATGGACACATGTGTAATTTGTTAAGGGTCTCACATACACAGTAAAGTCCTATCAATGCTTTATTAAAATCATCAGTTCCCTTCTATTTCTTCATCAAATTACTTTACCACCATTTATCTTCAATACATTCTGGTTTTATCTCTTCAGTAAGGTTCCTCCCACTGTGGGGTTTAGTAAATGTTGTTAACTGACTCAATCTCTTTCTTGATCCAGCCTTCCTGGCAATTTAGTCCATCGGTTCACATTTTCATAAATTTCCAAACTTTGCCTAGATCACTTGGGAGACTGCTTTCCCAGTAAGAAATAGGCCAACATCTTTAACCCTACCTCAAAACTTAGATCCTGGTACAGTTCCCTTTTAAGAATAGTGAAGGTGGCCGGGGTTCACCAATGAGCCTTCAGACAGTAGGCAGGTCAGGGCCAAATTGGTTGGATACAGAGAGAAGGATTTCCATGAGATTATACAGGGCCCCATTAACCTCTGTCAAAGGGCCACACTGCTGTGAACACAAAAGAAAGGTGAGTGATGGGAAGTAAACACCAGGTAAAAATGGCAGGCAGGGGGAGTAAAAGGAAAAGGAAACACAAAAGAGAGAAAAAAGGAAATCAGAAAGCAGAACTAAATTCATAACTATCCTTCCCTCCCCTGGAAACACACACATGCACCCTCTGCTCCTTCTCACACGAGATCTCTCCCTCATACACACATATCCCTTCTTCCATCAACCTACATTTACTGAACACCCATGATAAAGAATATCTGTTCTTCATTCTGAGCCTCAGTCTCCTCATTGTAAAATGATGAAGTTAAAAAAATCGAAGACATTTTTTAAAAAATCATATGCCAGGGGCAATAGCCAACATGTAACAAATGAGGAAGATAGACATGAACTGTAGACAACCCCAATTCAGCTGTGAGACTGGGAATGACTTACTAGAAAAAGACACATCAGAATGGGGCTGGGGATTTAGCTCAGCAGCACAGCGCCTGCCTGGCAAGCGCAAGGTTGTGAGTTCAATTCCTGGTACCAAAAAAAAAAAGACACATCAGAAAACAGGCAACTAAAAACATGAAGGCAACCAGGCTAGAAAGCAAAACTGGAGGAATAAAAGCAAAGAAACCACACGTGTAAGGCATTTAGAGAAGAGGGGGAAGAGAACTGGGGGACAAAAATATAAGTATATGAAAAAATAACACCTTGAAAGAATAACTTCAGGGCTGGTGCAGGTGAGTTGGGGGGACAGACAGGAGGCAGTAGAGCCTGGTCACTGCGGAGTGGTGGGGGCAGGCCTGAAGGGAGAAGAGCTTTTCCAAAGCTGCCACAGCATAGAAATTAGAAGTGAGACAAGGGTCAGCCCCCGGGCAGTTTCACTAGCAATAGAGAAAAAAAAAAAATAGAAGACTCAGGACATTAACAAGGAGAACAACAGAGATTGGTGACTGATGTCTGAGTATATCCTGAACATCTTCACTGAAGGAAAAACTACTTGGGAGCTTTGCTTTCTTCATCTCTGACTGACCATGATGAGCAAGTAATCAAGCTCTCATATCTTATGCTTTCACTCTTAAAGGCAATATTTATCCAACTGAGAGCAAGGTCTTCTGATAGAAATCCTTCATGCTTACAGTCTTCATTAACAAAGTAACATGAAAGTTGCTGATACAAAAGACCTGATGTCATATTTAGTATACAGTAAACCAAAACACACAAATCCCTTACATCAATTTAAAAATAAATCTCCAGACTACCACCTAACTTCTAGAAACCCAAAAGCTACCCCTGCTAGCAGGAATGAGTAGCTCTTGCTCTCTAAAGACTGAAATAGTCTCTATCATAAAGGCCACCATCTTTTAAAGTCACCATCAGGCCAGGCACCACATTACCTCACAGACAAGAAAGCTAAAGCTCAGAGTGATAGCTAAAGCCCCACAATAATAAAGAGAGGATGTCAGGTCCAATTGATTCCAGTAAGAACTTTTGCAACTACATCTCATATTAAGGCATGAGGGGAGACACATCAGGTTTAAACATGGCTAGGCTGACATACTTCTAACTATTGATGCTGCTGCAATCATGGGGAAGATGATTCATCTCCACTATAAGCTACTAAAAATCTCAGGAAAAAGAACAAAATGTTAACATCTCCCAAATCTAAGATACTTTCACAATTCTCTTGCAAAGTTCTTACATATGAAATATAAAAAAAAATCTTATAATCCATTCATATGCTTAATGTACATGGCAACATTTCTAGCATCCATTCACATACCCACCTACCCACTCACTCAGCCATTCACTGTAGAGTCTGCTATCTATGGGACAGGGAACTGAATCAGGCACACAATAAGTGTTATCATTACATCCCTTCAGTAGCACCAAACATGATTAAATACTTATAGTATGTGATAATTATTAACTAGCTTTAAGAGGTGCAGTGTAATGATCCCCAAGTTATGATGGTTTGATTCATAATTTTTAACACCACAATGCAAAAATAATATGCACTTAGAATTCTGAATTTTGATCTTTTCCTGGACTATTGCTATGCAATACAGTACTCTGATGGCAGACAGTAGCAGCAAGCCCCAGCTCCCATTCAGCCACGTGATCACAACAGTGAACACCTGATGTTCCACAGAGTTGCTAAGCTAAGTTTGGTAGGTTAGGTGTATTACATGCATTTTTCAATTTACGCTAATTTCAACTTAACAATGGGCTTACTGAGACATAGTCCCACTATAAATTAAGGAGCATCTGTATATGTGAAAGAGCCACAGACCAGAAGTCAGAGCAAGGTTAAGAATAGGAGTCATGCATATTCCTCTTTGCTTTACATCTTTAGTGAGCTAAATGACCACATAATTATCACTAGCCACATAATCTTATACAAGCCCCTATATTTTCTTGCAGTTTATAGTTTACTTATCTGCACAGTGGGGGTGGTAATGGTATCTGCCCAGTTCATCTTACTGCGTAACTATAAGGAAAGAAAGAGGTATGGTCTACCAAAGGCCAAGGTAAAATATTCACAAATATGAAAGTGCTAAATACAGACTGCTAATCTCAGAATGTCCAAAGATCTCACTATTGGTTTCATTCTTCCAAAGCCTCTAAAATCTACAGTAGTAGCCTAAATGCAGTATGGTCCTCCTTTCAGGATTACATTGGTTTGGAAGGTGTAACCTTGTATTTCAGCTGGACTATAGACATTCAGATTGATGCAGTCCTTTTTCAGCCTAAGAGGGCCTATGAGCCAGATTCATTTCTTTCTTTTCATTAGTTTTACAACATGCTTACAAATGTGTCACATTAAACTTAGGAACTTTAAAAACAAAAAAGGGGGAAAAATGTTTTTACAGTGTTGGTGATTTTATATAGGAATGGGAAATTTCTAACTTTTACCAAGAAAAATCTGTTCCACTGAATTATCTCCTTGACTACCTTCCTGCCTCTTCTGAGAAATCAAAAGGAAATCAGCTACTTAACAAGTCTAGCAAATATCTCATCAACCCTATCACTAACTGGTTCTATATAAATTCCCAACTTTCATGAAACACTGTTTCACTAAGGCTGTAATGAGACCGTAATTGTGATCACCAATTCCCAGGTAATGTAATATAACCTAAAGAACAGAAGGTCAGTGGAAGACCAGAAAGAGGAACAGGAACTGGAATTAAAGACTGACAGATGAACAAATTCTCAATCTTGATGAGAAAATTCAGTGTGGTCAGCCACCCACCCAGCCTTTCTTCACAAGCAGTCACTGGGCATGGGTGATAGGCTTTTCCACTGTAGTTACAATTTCATTTCACAAGGTAAAAGGTTCTCCTGTCCAAGTATAATAGGAAAACAGAGAGCCTGTCTCTCTGCAAATTACTACAGCACAGTTTTTGATAGCCTATTCTGTCACGTTGAGTAGAAAAGCCACCCCACTCACTCCCTCTTTACCTGTCCACTACTAGGACGATCAACTAGTGTAGCAACGGTGAAGAAGAAAAGACCAGCTGGGTAAGAAATGGCCCATGACATAATGAGTCTTGGAGAAAAAGTGTTGTTTATTTCTATTTTTTGGCTCTTGATATTTGTATTTTGGCCTGATCCCACTTAGAGTCTTGGTGCAAAAACTGAGTGTTAATCTTACTAATTTCCAATGAGATGTGTCCACAGGAACACAGTTATTAAAAAAAAAATAGAGGAAGAATTAAGATGCCTTAAGCAGATGGCTTTTTAAAAAAGTCATTTCTAAAAGGTTTTAAGAAAATTGATCAGTCTGGATGCAGAGGATACAACTGATTTAATGTACCAAATGTAAGGTTTAAAATTTTTTCTTTTATTCCTAGATAGGGCAGTGATCAGAGAGCTCACTTAATGTAGATGAATTTCAAACACAAAATGCTCCTTTTTAAATAGCCAGCACAAAACTACCTAGAATGAACCTGAACTATTAATTTGATTCCAATCCCAGATCACACTTATATGAAGGAGATGTGTTTATTCAACATTAAGTACATACTAATGTTAGTGGGCACTATTATGCTGCAGGAGAAATGTCCAAAGCAAGTTGTAACCACTCTAACCTTCTAGGGGCATGGACTTCACCTAAAGCCTATAATCAAGATCAAAAGTTGCATTAAGAGGTTCTTTTCCTACACGTCCATTCGGGTACTTTTTAATCTAATCTGCTTTTCTTCAGAGCATATTTAACTGGCTTAAAAAAAAAAAAAGGAAGCTTATCAATACATATTATCAAGGAAGTCAGACGACAGATGAGAAAAAGAAGTTAATTCTTTCAGGTGTAATTTTGATTCTGGAAATATCAAAGTGAGAATAGCTCCTAATAAAACAACAGCTTAAAATAAGCAGGTCTTGTTAGACAGGGCTTGTAGGAAAGCAATGGAGCAATAACCAGCTGCCTCCCAGTCCAATTAGAGAAAAGCCCCTTAGGAGGCTCAAAGCCTTCCCAGCCCCATTCCTGCTCATCAACAATGGGCCTATAATATAAGGCACCCCAGACTATTATATACACTGTCTGTGTCTGTCAGTTTCACTTTAGTCTTCTCAAACCTAAAGTGCTCCAGTGCAGTTGATCCCTCTTGATCTAAAAACCTGTCTGCTCCTTCTTTTCCAAATTCCCACAGTAATTCTTCACAAAATCTAACTGAACAACTCTGCAAGGGCTCTTGGCTTTCTAGAATCTGAGGAAAAGAAACAGCAATTCAAAAGCAGTGGTCATGACCACTCCCTATAATCATGCCACTTGAAAAGGAGCTGTCCCATCAGCACTGGTGACTAAAACTCGACTTGTACACTTTTCCTTCTTGCACGTTTTTACACAGTGCAAAGCACTGATGACTGAAGTTAACATTACAGTGAGATCTCGCTTTTCAAAATCACAAAGGGTGAAGAGAAAGGGGACTGAATAAATTTGGTTTAGACTGCTTTTTTTTTTACTAAATAGAGCACTTTGCTGGAGATTTGTGATGATTTTTTTTAAAAATGAAAGTTTGAGCCTGAAATCCTGACGTTTCCAGTGACTACAGGAACAAGCAGCAAGACCATTTCAGTTTTTAGTATATGAAGAACAGTAGTTTCCATTGCAAAAGAAGAGACCATATAAAAACTGAAACACTCTCTAATCCTTCACCTCCATCTGAAGCTTCGCATGTCCAACTCTCAATTCCTTGACCACCCCTAAGCCACAGACAACCCACATCTCAGAGCTCCAACAGAATCTCCTGAGCAAACCCCTCCAAGGGCACTTACTGCACATGGGAGTAGTAATCTGAGTGTTTCACTCTCAACTATGGTTATTGTTCTTTGTGTCCTTCACAGTATACTACATACTTATCATAGAAAGCAGAAACCTAATAAATACCACCAATCTACCAAAAAGATGTTAGAAAGGATTCCACTGACTTGTCACTCAAGCTGAGAATGTGATAAATGATACAAAAACAAGGTAGTTAAGACTATGGTGCCATGGTGGTGTTCTTTCTTTCTTTGGAGGGTAAAAGGGGTGATCCACCACGATCTGGGGTTTTATCTTTCACGTGTTTTATTTCTCCTTGTTCTTTTAGGCAACCTGAGATGTGGCCTAAGCTAGGCCATAAAAATTGGTAAACTGGTTTTGAAACAATATCTTAGGAAAATATCTTTAGATGTACCTTTGCTTTTATTTTTTTAAGAAACACTCCAAACAGTTTAAAAAAAAAAAAAAAAAAAAAGAGGGGGCTCTAAACATGTTTAAATTATTTACTTTATAGGAAACTGTTTTTTAAAAAAGCAATATTTTGAAAAGGCAGCAGCTGTTGGATTCCACCTTCTATACCCTCCAAATGCATTCAGAGCAACACTTCAATACTGTGTGAGGTGTCCATCCCCTCCTCGAAGCTCTTCACACACCAGAATTCCACTCTGCAGCCAACCCATGGTCATGGCTAGGCTCAGCCTCTCGGGGGGAGACAGCACAGAAGCGCTGACAAGCCCTCACTGGTAGCAGTGATGCGGAGCGCCAGAATAAACTCTGGAGCAGCTTCTCACGGTTGAAAGGACAAGGCACAAGCTGTTTTCTCACATCCTCTGCCTCTTAAGGTTACAACAAACCAGCCTCTGATCCAATTAAAATCCCTATAGTTTATGTTTTCTCTGAGAAGGACAAAGCAAAGATGACCTGTGCTTGCTGGGAATATAACCAGCCATGTTTGGTCCTCACTGATAAATGAAGAGTTAAAAAAGATTAAGAATTTAAGTCATGACTGCCATGAAATTGTTTATTCATGGTAAGGTGTTTCAGGCAGTTACAGCTGTACAACAGTAAATTGTTAACAACCGTTTCCTGAAGAAAAATTTCCATTATAGATCACAGATAAGACATGAAGCAGGGCACAACGATGCAGGGAGATCAGCATTCCAACCAGCAGAGGTTATGTTAGCTGCAAGTCAAGAGGGCCTACCCTTTCCTAAAATCACTTTCAAGAAAAACTGTACTTTGAGGAGGATGACATTTACCCTAATTGCTGCATCTAATTAAAATTAAGGTAATTAAAAAATTTCAAATGCACTTTAAATGTGATGGAGGGCATAATTAAAAAATCACATTTTAAAAAATATCATTAGGGCAGTTGGGTGAAGGTCAGCATACAAGTGGGGAAACAGCTGAACTCTCAGAAACAGGAGGGAAATGGCAGTCTGTTGGAGATATTATAGGGAATGTGCTCTTTTTCTTTTTTAAAGACCAGAACTGAACAACTTGGAGCATCTGTGTCCTTGCTGTTCACATGTGCCAATGCTGAAGAGCACTTCTCTTGTCAGTCTCTCCCCAGCAGGAACTAGGCTGGTGAATCAGAAAAATGTCAGAGTCTTCAGGAAGCTGCTACTATTATTTTGGAGTTAGTGGGAAGACAAAAAAGAATGACAGCTGTGTTTCCAGAAAAAATAAGTAATTTCAGTATTAATATACAGGGTAACTCTGTCAGAGATGCAGTAAATTCAAGGACACTAGGAACAAAGTAGACTGGAAACCAGGGACCTGGAGTGCCACCCTGAACCTCAATACTTAGCTGTCCAACATCTGGTCTCAGGAATGTCACTAAAGAAACAGGGTACTGAACTAAGTTACTGTAAGACTGATCAGATTCTGAAATCTACTATTCTATAGAAGAACTGAAAGGTGAAGTCGCAACTAGAATGCTCAGTCACTAAATCTGTGAGGACTGTTTAGGACCTTGAATAGGGTCAGTTATATAGTAAATACCCACTTGAGACTGAATGTTTACATCCTCCTCCAAATCCATATTTTGAAACTTAATTTCCAATGTGATGGTATTTGGGGATGGGACCTTTGGGAGGTGATCAGGTCATGAAGGCAGAGATTAGCATCCTTATAAAAGAGGACCATGAGCCTCCCTTACCACTTTCACCATGTGAGGACGCAGCAAGAAAACAGCTGTCTATGAACCAGGAAACAGACAACAGACTCAAAACTGCCAGTGCCTTGATGTTGCATTTCCCAGCCTCCAGAACGATGAGAAATAAATTCCTGCTATTTATCAGCCACTCAGGGTATAATATTTTGTTACAAACTGACAAAGATAATACCAGTGTATGTTTACTGACTGATGTTGCATGAGCACCCAGTACAGCTGAGGCTCCCCAGGGCCTAGCACAGCATTTGAAGTACATCTACTGAAAGAATTCATGAGACTATACTGATCCTACCATGCAGAAACACGCTAGTTACGTAGGGTTCCCATACAACCCAGAACCCCACAGTGAACCTGGTGAACACAGTCATCAATCTGGGAACCAGCAGAGCAATTCTTAATACTGTCTAACATTATACGAAGCATCAGAAATGCCTTAAGATTGCCCTTCAAGAAGCCTACATTAAAATTGTTCACTGATTTATTTCTATGAGAATTATCAGGCAGGAAAGAACCTAGTCAGACATGCTCTCAGGAGAGAGATTACCAGAACGATGAAAATAACATGAAGCAGCAGCAGATTTCCCATGAATATCACTCAAGCAGACTAACTACATTTGTCTTTTACCTTTGGAAATCTAGATTCAAACAGAACAACTATTGGAAGAGAATTTGGTTTAATGAACATAACCCCATCCACAGGCATATCAAAAACCATTCACATTAAAGCTACTGCACATCTGATGGCTAAGATAAAGTATAAAATGGTTTTGGATGTCATGACTCAAATTCAGCTATAAAGAACATTTGCTAAGTGTCTACTATGTATCAGGAATCGTGTACTAGACACACAATTTCTTTGACTTTCTCAATAACACTGAAAGGCAAAAGCAATTAACTGTACTTTTATAGGTGAGAATATGAAGGTATGGAGAGGCATCACATTTTATACAAGAAATGAAGCCAGGAGTCAAACCTAGCTTGTCTGTTTAGGTGTAATGCTCATCCAACAAGTATGAAATATTCTTTACTGGGGTTCTAGCCTTTTTTTTTTTTTTTTAAAAGAATTGGAATACAGCAGTGAACAAAACACATGAGCTTCCCCATCCCCTAGACTTCTCAATGTGCTTTTACTGCTTGGGTCACAACTACTCCAAGCCATCTGTTAGCAGAATGATGTCTAGATCAACACATTCAAATCTGGCCTTGTCTCAATAAGGGGCTATCAAATTTAGATCTTGAAGATTAATGTTGTTAATATATGAACACATACATATCACATTAAATTTTAGTATTAATAAGAGCAAATACAACAATTAAGAATTTGCCCAAGGCTTGTTAACAGATAAAAACCAGATTTGCAGATAAGTAAAGAGCAGCGGGTGTTTCCAAATGGAAGAAAATTAGAATGGAAATAGAACACCGGACGTGACAGCACACATCAGGAGAGCCAGACAGAAGAGAGTAAACAGCATTTCTTCTGATGTCAGCCTTCTACTGAGGACAGATCTGAAAGGATATCTGTATTATCGTGTCCCAGCAACCCGAGAAGTGACTGCACGGCGTTCAGCTCCACCAGAAGGTGGTACAGGTCTGGCATGGTGGCCACTACGTGCATCTCCTGAATGATGTCATTTAGGTCCAGCTCGGATTCCATGAACCTAGGAAGGGAGAATAAGACAGCATCATTGAAAGGAAAGGGGCACTATCAGTGACGAAAAGCAAATTGCAACATAACCTAGACAAAGAGACAATCTGTCAAAGTGTCTACAACAGACCAACCAAGAAGTACACTCATCCAAACATCATACTGTCACACAATTTCCTTGGGAAATCGATTTCCTCATTACAGAAATCAATCTTGGATTTGGATCTCATTACAGGGCTCCCCTTAACCCTTCAGTCAAAAGCTGCCTTTTAGAGGCTCTCAAAGTATTCTGCAGCATTAAATGATCTACCCACCAGTCCTCTGGATTAGCTACCATCACCCTTTGCTGTGGCAGTTCATTCTGTTGCCCTGAACTAGCTATCCTACTAATCCCAAAAGGGTTTCTCTTACTTCCCTCTTCAGATCAAGAACCAATTATTCCCCTTCCCCAAAGGAAGACAGTTTCTGCATCATCCCTCAAAACCCATCATGTCCCCTCCAATGAGCTGATTATGAGGCAAGTTCCAAGCCAGGCTGATCTAGACTCTGGCATTCTGTAATCGTTATCACAGCTTCCACAGCATAATATTTCCCTAACATTTCCACAACTGAACCTTTCAACAAACCTCTGCCCAGGCACTAAGAACAAAACTACACTGCATTCACTCTGCATGAACCCTTCCCAGGGTCTGACATGTAAGAAATGCCCATTAAGCCTTGGATGAACAAAACAGAAAGGTGTGTTCTGAGAAGGAAATGAGCTATCCAAGTAAAATAACTCAACAATACCTGACTGAGCATGATTGGGAGGAAAGGGTGGTTAAACAGACTCTGGAGCAGATAGATGGGGCTTGACCATGGTTTAGCCACTCACTTAGCTTTTCTCTGTCTCAGTTTCTTCATCTACAAATGGAGACATCAACGCTACCTGTCTCATAGGCCTACTGTAGAGTAAAATAAAAGTAGCATCTGAACAAATTCTCGCATGTCAAAGCAGTATGTAGCCAGGTGTGGTGGTACATGCCTGTAATCTCAGCACTCTGCAAGGCAGAGGCAAGGAGGATCCCAAGGCTGAGCCCAGACTAGGCAACTTATCAACTTAACAAGACCCTGTCTCCAAATAAAAATAAAAATAAAAAGGGTTAGGGATATAGCTCCACGTGAAAACCCTGGGTTCAATCCCCTGTATCCCTACAAAAGCAAGCACTATGTAATTAAATGTAATTATTTGCTTTCAATGCTTTTACAATATATGACTACTGTTATTACATCTCCATTTCTCTTCTAGAATGTTAAGCTTGTTAAAGACAGGAGCTACCATTCACAGATGCCTACTTCACTGAATTGAGGCTACAAAGAAAAGGAATATAAGCAGTGATTCTTGATATCACATAGGACTCATCAATTACCAGATGCTGAGAACTGGGCAGATATCAGACTCAAGAAATCCAGATTTCAAAAGGGATACACACACAAAAAAATTTAGAAACTATAGTTCTTTAAAAGATGCCCACAGTTTACATACTATCCTTTGGAACTGGCTTTTCTCACTACTACTTTTAGTCACAACATTACACATATTTTTTTCTAATTACAATACATGAATTTTCTTTGAAAATTGGGAAAAGAAAGACAACCCCTCAATAAGTAAAAAGAAATCATTCATGATTTTATGAGACAGAAAAAACCATTAATAGTACTCTGGTATGTTTAAGTCATTTTTCTTAATTCATAGCCTTTTCCCCCAGAAAGTAAGCCTATGTAGTATAAAGTTCTATACTCAAGTTTTGCTGTTGTTAACATAGATTGAATAGTTTCCCCTCAGTAAACATTCTTCTACAGTAGAAAAACCCAAACCTGACACACTCCTGCCAGTCATTCTTCTCCTATGGCAAAATCTCTCAGTACCAAAGTACTTTTCCCTGTTGTGCCTACACCCAGCTCAGAATCCTTCGCAACACAGTGGTCCAAGAAACCACCAATCAATCACAGAGTGTATGGGAGACTAAGTTTACCAGTAGTTTCTGTTCTAAATCATAAATTTTAACTAGCTACATAGTATATTCCCTTGTGTTGATGTACCATGATTTATTTAACCAATTCCCTTTGTTAAACATTCAGATAGCTTCCAATTCTTTCCCCTGTAACAAATGACACTTAGATGCATGCATTCATAATTACTGTGTTAAGATAAATTCCCAGGAAACAAAGTGCCAGCTCAAAGTATGCATGACTTAACAGACTTTGATATATATTCTGCCAGAAAGGTAACAACACTGTGTGAAGGCCTGTTTTCCTTTAACTTTTTGACGAAACAATACTATCTACTTAAAATCTCTAATTTAAGATGGGAAATAAAGCTTTTTAAAATTTTTGCATTTCTGATACTAAAATGGTTGCATTTTTTCTAATGTTTACTATTTGTATTTATTTGCCTATTTTTTTTTAATTTTATTTATTTATTTATTTATTTATTTATTTATTTATTTATTTGGCTTTTTTCTGGTACCGGAAATCGAACTCACGACCTTGAGCTTGCCAGACAGGTGCTGTGCCGCTGAGCTAAATCCCCATCCCCGATTTGCCTATTTTAAATCAGGGTATTTATTTATTGATTTATAAATGTTCTCTATACTAAGGAAATTAATCTGTCATATATTGCAAAAAAAAAACCCTGAAAAATATTTGTGCTTTAATTCATACACTGTGTTTCTTAGTTTTTGACATTAAGGTTTTCAAAAGTTCAAGAAGTCAAATCATCATGCTTTATGAACTTCATTTTACATGTACCCTGAACAAGATCTTTTCTATGCTAGAATCAGGTATGTTTTATGGTGTACTTCTACATTTATATATATTTAAACATTTTATCCATCCGAAATATACTTTAATTCACAATATAGGGTAAAGGCCAAATTGTATTTCTACAAATATTTTGTCAGCTGCCCTAATGCAGTACCATAATCTACCCTTTTTTCACATATTTGTAGAATTGTTATCTATCATATACTAATGCATCTTTTAATCTATTTCTAAGGTTTTCACTCCATTTTGTTGATTTGTGTGCAAATTTCTGAGTCGGGATCACATTTCCACATTGTTATAACTTTATAGTATGTTATAACTTGTTATAACTTTACAGTATATTTTATGTCTGTTATTGCAAAACATCCCCGTTATTCTCCTTTTTCAATGCTTCCTTACCTATTCTCATCTGCTTACCATTCTAAGTAAATTTTACATTTTACCAAGATTCTCCCTCAATACCACTTTTTTTTTAAAGGCTCCTTCCACTGTGGCTGCAAACAGTTTATTTTTTCAGCGCACTAGTTACCTGAAGTACAGAGGCCAAATCAGAATCATGAGTTAAAGGGCTGGTGCAGGGCTGAGGATCTGGTTCAGTGGTAGAGCACTTGTTTAGCAGGCCCAAGGCCAAGTCCCATCCCCAGGCCTGCAAAAGAATGGGCTGGTAGAGGAGGATTTGAATATCCCAGGGAGCAGTGGTACTATATAATCCCTGAGCCTAATGGGTTCAGCAAACCTTGAAGGCTTGTCTTATGTGGATATTTTAAAATATACTCCGAGCTAGGCATGGTGCCACAGGCCTGTAATCCCTGCACTGAAGCTGAGGCAGGAGGATCACTGCAAATTTGAGGCCAGCCTGGGCTACAAAATGAGTTCAAGCCCAGCCTGGACTACATAGAGAGATCCTATCTCAAAAAAAAAAAAAAAACACACATACACAAATACACACAGAGACTTCTGAAGAACAACTTAATAAGATTTTACAGTCTACCTGGAGAACTAGTGATTGAGACTGGACACTAGACAGCAATGAACAAAATCATGCTGAGTTCTAGGACAGGATTTGGGGATCTGAGTGATAACTGGTAAATGAATGCCTTCCGAGAGACTTCCATTGGTGTCCTGCTGTCTGATGTTGTCTGTGGCTTTGTCCTTAGGCCTGTTTTATTTTATTATTCTTTAATCAATAAATTGGGTGAAAATATAGAAAAGGCAAATTTAACAAATATCATATAACAGAAAGCTTAGAGAGAGAGTGAAGAGAATCAATTCAAAAGGCCCTGACAGACAATAAAAACGTGCCAAGTCTAACCGCTGAAAATTATCTGGGATCTAAAAAGTCAAGTATAAACATATGATGTGGGAAAGGTGCAGTTTCATGTGTAGAAAGGACTTGGTGATTTTAGTCAGGTGTAACTGCTGCACAAATCAGAACCATCAGATAGCTCTGTCAAGACAGAGGCTATTCCTTACTCCTATCTGGCTCCACGTCCCTGCCAACTTAATGGTCTACCACACAACCTCAGTGGGTGTCTGCCAGTGAAGAACCAGAGGAACTCAGCTGCACCAATGCTACTATGGCTTAGGCTATTTAAAAATACAACAGAGTTCTCATACTGATTAGATGACCACACTTTAGAGGGATACGGAAAGTGATTCTGGGATGTAACAGAGATTATAAGAAGTCTGGGCTGGGGCTTTAGCTCAGCGGCACAGCGCCTGCCTGGCAAGCGTGAGGTTGTGAGTTCAATTCCTGGTACCAGAAAAAAACAAACAAACAAACAAACAAAAAACAAGAAGTCATATGAGAATTCGTTGAAATTCTTTTCTCATTCTTAGTCAAAATCTTGAGTCAGAACTGCTAAATGATGGAATAAATTCTCTGGAATGTTAGATCCTTGTCACTAAGGGTAGTTAATAAAGAGTAATATGAAAAAAAAAAGACAAATGACAGAATGGGCTGCACTTCTCGTTCCTTCTAAATTTATGATTCTTCCTAGTATATGGTACTATCCCAATGTTTTAAGTTTAGAAAGTCAGAAAATCATCAAAACATAAAACAGCAGCGAATCATACAAAGAGAAACACCACAAAAATACCACTGGGTCCAGTGTCACATGAGTAACAAGGCATAGTAGTAAATGCCCAAAATTAGCATTCATAGGAAAATGGCTGCACTTTGAGACCATGATGTTATTAAGTAAAATAAATCAGACACATGAGCTTATATATCACATGGTTTGTTTTATATGAGAAACCCAAATTATAAATAAAGAGCAAAATAAAGACAGACAATAAGAACTAGGGAGACAGATCTTTTTCGAATGGGAAGGAGATCAAGAAATGGGAGGGATTGAAAAAAGGAACTAAAATGTGTTATGCACATGTACCAACTCCAGAAGGAAAGTAAACATTATCTACTGCAAATATGTGCTCATTACTTTGGAAAAAAAGACTGACTTAGGTGTGACCATGGGCAATGTGTCAACAAGTATTCATCAGACATATACAGTACTAGGTTCACTGTCCAAGGTACTGCAGATTTAAGAGATAACAAGAGAATCCCAGTTTCTGACTTCACAGAGCCCTCAGACTAGCACAAATGTAAATAATCTCTTACCTAATTCATCATAAGGATGCCTACTACTGCCCAAGAGAAGTGCCCCTGGAACACAGAGCACAGGGTTCCAACCTAGTCAAGGAAGGCAGACTATTAACTACTTATTTCTAAACCTCAATTTCCTTATCTTCCTAGCTGAAGCATATTGAGGATTAAAAGGAATAACATATATAAAGGGTCTAATAATACTTGCCACACGGTAGATGCTCAATGACTCTGTCCCTCATTAGCTATGCCATAACAAATACAATTTTCTTCTGCTTTTGCTGACAAAGTACAGCCTACTCATTTAAAGAGCACATAATATTTGCAGAGGGCTGCCTTTAGGGATTTTTGAGTGCCTTCTGCAATACATGATTTACTTCTGGGGTAAGGATCAAGAGAAAGGTGATGGAAAGCAATAGAGGAACATATTAAAACAGTAACCCAGGCTGAGGAGGGGGCCATCCACTCCATCTGATATGACAGAGAATCTTCTCCTAGCCTGCCCAAGGACACTTGCTTCAGACAAGCAGATGTTCTCCATCAACCACATGAGCGAATAATTAGCAAATGACCAGCAAAGTTCAACATCATGCTACAAAAGCAACAGGAACCAAGGAAGTCTAAGTACAATCATTGCAGGGGGAACATGATGTTCCCTCTACCTAACTAAATCAGTAGTTCTCAAGGTGTGGCCCTGGGTTCCCAGGATGTGGACAGGAGGTAACTGGAGATGCTTTTGACAGGAGGTAACCAGAGATGCTTTTGGGGGTCTGTCAAATCAAAACTATTCTAATTCTTCAAAGGTATTATTTGCCTTTTTCACTTTTATTCTCTCAGGAGCATACAGTAGAGTTTTACATAGCACTACACAATATATGACATGATTGTCCTGAGGGCTAAGAGAATGTTTGCTTTGTATGTTGTAGTGTTTTCTAGAAATTTCAAAGAAAAGCATTTTGGGGTACTCAATAATTTAAGAGTGCAACAGGCCCCCGAGATCAAAGGGCTTGAGCATCATAGAGTAAATAATTTGTTCCTGTAAAAATGAAGAGACAAACTAGGAAAGGACCTTCTAGGGAAGCAACATACTCTAACCCATGCGACATTAGGGAGAAGGATTACACAGTGTAAAGTGAAGGCTACAGAAGGAGAATTGTCAATTGAATCTGAAATGCAGCCAAATGAAGAGAGGCATTTTGGGGTATGCTATTAAAATGACAATCGCATATATGGGAAAATAAATTTCAATGTTTCTGATCTCAACTGGAACGTTTCATTCAAATATGCTCCAGCAATTTTCATCTTAATTGCACCTCGCTGGTTTGGAGAATTATGAGAGACACTGCACCAGTAACAATTCAAGAACTCAAGGTTAAAACACAATATAGTTTTCTCACTGCCTTTTGACATGACAAAAAGCTCTTTATGCATAATTTCAATTTTCACATATTCAGATTTTAAAACTAAAATGGTATATAAATTTTGTCTAAATGGAAAACACTGTTGACTTTTTAAAATGTTTTTCTTTTTTCATGAAAGCGGCTCACGAATGGTAATACCAGCACATCAGTGGTCACTATAACCTACAGACACTCACAGCTCTGAGTGGCCAGGAGGCTAACAGTCTGGAGGGGCAAAGGCAATACTTGTATTACAAGAAGGAAACTGGATTTCCAGAGTTATCAACCTATAGCATAGCTTCCTCATAACAAATGTATTAAAGGGGGGTTACTGCAGCATTATTTATAAAAACCAATATTTAAAATAACCAAAATATCCATCAATAGAAATATAATTAAATAAATTATGGTATTTCCCAGCCATGAAATACTGCATAGTAATTAAAAGACAAAAGGTAGATATGCAGATAACAAAAAAAAAATATTTCTTGTCATGATTCCAAATCAGAAGGTGTAGAACACTTACAGGATGATTCATGTATGGGGGAAACTGTACACTTACATATACATATAAATAAGTGTACAGAAAACAATCTAAAATACTATTTGTGAACTGTTCACAGATTTACCTCTTAATAGAGGAATGAAAAAGGGGCCAGTAGAGCAAAAGAAAACTTTCATGTTTTATTCTACTTATGGCACTGTTGTCACTTTTTGCAATGACAATCTATTTGTGTAGTACTTGTGTAAACACACACACACACACACACACACACTACAGTGTAACAAGTACTAATGTAAGGTAGAGCATGCAACCAGCATAAAACCAGAGAAGACACTGCTGCCAGCAAGTTGAACTCTGGTCTAGCTGCTTCATACTATCAGAAAGGGCTGTGAGCCTTGGTCCTGTGACTGGTTTCCCTCCTCTTCCTCTTCTTCCCCACTACAGAGAACACAGTGGACCACACTAGCTAGTTCAGGTTGCTGTGAACACTCTGCCCTCTGATACCTCGGTACATTGTTCTTTGCCCGCATGCTTTTTTGTGTTCTTTTCTGCCTAATACAATCAAAATCATTCTTCAAGGCCTGGTTCAATACCACTTAGCTGTGAAAACCTCAGTAGTCCCCAACTAGGCACTTACTGCTTCTTCCCTTATACTTCCAAATTGCTTGCTCATAACTCTTTTGGAGTGTGCATTCCTTTTTACTTTGCATGTAGGCAGTTTCCTAATAATCACAAACCTGAGTGCAAAGGTCATATTGTTCAATGCTTAATTGCCTAGGAAAACCTTGGGTATATTAAAAGTCATTAAAACTGTATGTTTAGGGAGGAAGACAGGAAGAGAAAGATGTAGAACATTAAAATCAGTATAAATATGAAAAATCTTTTAGTTAAGATTCAAGACCAAAAGATACCATACCCTGATTACGGCGCTTCACAGCAATAACCATAGTAACTACCATTTCATGAGTATCTACTATGTGTAGGAATTGAGCTACAAATACTTGACATCATTCTTACTTAATCTTCACAACCACCTTGTGCAGGAGATATTATTTTCTAATATAGGTGAGACAGATACCTGAAGCTAAGAAAGGGGAAGTAACTTAAGGTCATGTGAGTCACATCCGTATTTGTCTAACCCCAAAGCTTTTGATATTTTCTCAACATTAAAGCTCTTACTAACAGCAACCATGGCTTTTTTGGGGGGCTGGGGTGGGAGTGTAGAGGTCTTTTCCTTCAGAAAATGAGAACGCTAAGGGAAATAGTCAACCTAGCAGGCCTGGTCTTTTGAAGGGCTTGCTTATAAGGCTGACCCAAAGTTGGCAGCTGGGAACTTGGCTTTTGAAACATTTCCTAAGTGATAAGGCTGTGATGCCAGCCTGGAGCACTGAACAGCTGCTTTCCTTCTGAGAAACTGGAATGCTGCTAGTTGTTTCTGCCAGAAATGCCTATATGAACAGTCCTAAATAAAAACCCCAGACTTGGGAGTCTCAAACAGGCTTCTGTGGACAGAAATACTGCACACATGTTGACACAATTCACTGCTGGCAAACACAGTGTGCCTGTCTGGGCTCTCCCAGTGGGAGGGAGAAAGAGATGAGGCTGTGCATGAATTTCTCCAGATTCCACCTGATGTGTCTTTTTCCTTCATGGATCCCATATACTCTTCTACTATAATAAACCACGTTACTGAGCACCACTGACTGAATCCTATGCATCCTTCTAGTGATTTCCCAAACATGTGGATCATCCTGGGATTCCTGATCCAAATCACAAAACCCAAAGCAAACAAAACAATGGAAAGACAAAATTAGCAAACAGAATCCTGCAGAGGAGAAAAGGATCAGAAAAACAGAGCCTTACTTCTCTGGATTGTCTGGAAACTTGATTCGCAACTCTTGATTTTTATATGATCTCTTTTCAAATGTGAGGATCATTTTCTTCACTGAGCTTTCATCCAATGGTTCCTCCTGGTACAAAGGGACAAATGCAACAACTTCAGTACACAGATTTTGTATTCACTGTCACTTCTTTCCTGGAACACTGATGCTCTACTTCACTTTGCCAATGACTTCCCGGGTTCAATGTACAATATATACTTTTTCTCCCCGGCTACAGTGAGGGTTAAGGATGTATACTAGATGTTTCAGTGTACCATTCCCGGTGTCACACAATGGTCAGTATCTGTAACACAGAAAATTCAGTCTAAGATGTTAAAAAAAAAAAATCATTTCCATTTAAAAGTTTTACATCTTTCTTTCTTCCCTCCAGCTCCCCAGTACTAGGGACTGAACCAAGAGTGCTTTAACCCTCACTATGATCCCCAATCTTTTCTATTTTGTATTTGAGACAGGGTCTTACTATGTTGCTCAGCCTGTGCTCCTGAGTAGCTGGGATTACAGGCGTGTGCCACTGTGCCCAGCTAACAAGTACTTCTTAAGCATACTGTACGGCACAGGGGATAATAAGCAATAACACTAAATATTATTATTTAACATTTATCTTGTCCTTTTCCTTTGTTACAGGTAAGATTCAGAAGTTTAAAAAAACACGTTTAAGATAAAACCCTAAGTCAGTGAGAGTTGTCCTTAATTTTTTCTCCATACCAGGAGTCAGAAAACTATAGTCCACAGGCCAAATTCACCCCACTGACTGTTTTTGCACAGTCCCTGAGTGAAGAATGGTTGTTTGTTAACTATAGTCACTGCTTTGGATCTCTCACACATTACTGTGCTCCATGGTCACTAGCTGCTGAGAAGACAATCAAATAGGTACTTGGAATCCAGATGTAACATCAAGAATTTAGTAACTGTGCCTCAGAAGTATGAAAAAGCTAGATCATGCAGAATTTTCTTACTTCATACACTGCAATAATACTTACAAAGGTAAACAAAAACAAGACGTGAATCACCCCCGCCCCTCCAAATTGACACTCAAATTTCAGGAACATCTCATCTTGACAGTTTACTTTCGGGCTTAAATTAATGTGCTGAAACGCCCTCTGCCCTCCAGCTCTTCCAACCCCCAGCTTGACTGCTTTGTAGTTGTGGACCATAACTCATACCTAAAAGCAATACAGAAACTGCTATTAGGAAAACCTGAAATAGATCCTTTTGGAAAGCACTGAATCATCCCATAATTTTATAACTACTCAGAAAATGTTCACTATTATTTTACCATTAAATTTCAAGTTTCATATATTGTGTTTTAAGTGGAAGATACCTTTCCTTTATTCATTTGGGGCATGACATGTTTCCTAGGCGATATCAAAGACTCCAGCATCTAGAGAAGCTGAACTCCGTTGGATCCCTATGTTCCCCAGGGTGTTGAAGTCAGTGTTCCAGCTCAGTGAGGACTCAGTCTAGCTTCACTGCATACCAGCCATACGGCAATGTAACCTTCCTGAATATACTGCTCAAACTTTCACCAAATCCAGCAGATTCCTCCACATAATTCCTCCGCTGAATTCACCGACTTAGCACTTAGAGTAGAAGTAGTCCTTCACATGACTTATAGAAGAAAGGTCTACCAGGATCTGGCCCAGATAATCTCTACAACCCAAAACTAGGGTAAATACCCCTGTTGCTGGCCCGTGTCTACTTGTTCCCTGCTGATTTCCCAGTCCCTGGCACAGAGCAGGTACCCAGTGAAGATCTGCTGAAAAGGGAATGGAGTAGGGAAAGAGGGATAAGTGAACATGTTTCCTGTATCTTTCAAGGTCATAGGGATGACCTAAAGAAATTATGTACCTAAAATTGTTTGGTAAATGATGTTAATTTGAGGTGTTACTTTTAATAGCAACAAGCACAATGTAGTCAACATACCACTAGGATTTAAATAATCAAAATTTCTAGGGAAGAGTTAAATTACTTTCATGCAACCTCAGCCCCTGTTCCTTTCCCTCTGCTACCATGTTGTCTACCTTACAGGAAAACCATGTTAGTGTTAATACAGCTTGCATAGGATTTCCAAAATTCCAGCCTCTCCAGGGCTTGGCCTTCTGTAATTTCTCTCAACACTGGGAGAAAACGGAACTATCAGTCTTAGTCACTGGCCACAGCAGTATCTTCAATAGCTCAATGTCAGAAACCAGAGGGAGATTTCAGGAAGATGAATGCCAATGATGTAGCACAAAAAGGACAATAATATTTTACAAGTTCACGTGACTTTACAGGGCAAGCATCACTTGTTTTTCATCAAATGGGACTTTGGTGGCTGTGAGAAAATAACTCCTGGACTTGTAGCCTTCCATGTGTCATTTTTACAGAGCGATCTCTTTTTCGCCGTCCCTTAACAGAAGGGCTGGTCCCATGTTACATTTTTGTCTCCTGGGCTAGAAACCACTTATCCATGACAGCTACTGTCCTAATCCTCCATTACCAGCCTTGCCCTACATGGGAATTATACCCGCCAATTAACTGCTGCTGCAGGGTGAACAGATTGAGCAGAAGCTGGTGAGGAAGGAAGGCGGGAGCATGTGCTGCAAACACTGTTTGTGTAAGCCCTGGCAGGGCTGCTACCCTCAGAGAGGAGGTTCACAATTCAAGACTGTCTCCCACTGCAGATTTTCAAAGGGGCTTCATCTTTTAGGGGCAGATCCCCAAATAGCCCTGGTACAAATTCTAACAAGGAGAGTGTTTTTGTCAAAACATAGCAAAGGCCTTTTTGGAATATGAATCAACTTTTTTTTCTTCTCGGATTCACACTCCAGCCACATTTTTAAAATCCAAACTTAGCATCATATCTTTGAGGGAACTAGAAAACAGCTGGCTCTTAAGAATTTATTTCCATAATTCACAATGAACAATATGCCAAATAAAATAACACACACATTAATACTTAAGGATTTAAAAAGACACAAAGGTAAGGTCATTCTGTTTTTAATCACGGATATTATACCTCTACTATTCTCAGTATCATTCATTTATACATTCAGTAAATATTTATTAAGGGTTTACCAAGAGCTATAGCTCTGAGTGCCAGAGACATAGCTGTGAACAAAACAGAACCAATCCCCATTTTCATGGGAAACTGGTGAAGAACAACAAATAAGTAAAATAAACAAATAAGAATTTCAAATCATGACCTGTGCTGTGAAGACAATATACAGAAGAAAGTGATGAGTATCTGAGGATGGCTCACAGGACCATCTCAGAGACAGGACAGACTTCAAAGAACAGAAACGCGTGAACTGAGACTTGAATGGGAAAAAACAGTCATGCAAAGTGTTATGGGAAGAGCATTCCAGGAAGGGTTCAGAAGCAAAAAGGTCCAGAGGCAGGAGTACAAAAGCCCACAGGCACCTTAAAGGACAGCAAATATAAAAGCCTCAAGGCACCTCCTTCCCTAAACTGTTTTTTGTTTTTTGAGGTGAGGTCTTGCAATGTGGCCTGGGTTGGCCTCGAACTCCTGGGCTCAAGTGATTCTCCCCTCTCAGCCTCTCAAGAGCTGAGACTACAGGCACACATTAACCCCAGCTCTAAAATGCACTTTTCTAGACATATCTCAATACCTAACGCCACACAACCCCTTGAATTCCACCTTTGCTATTTTGCCAATGCCATTTCCTCTGTCCTAAAAGCCCTTCTTCCACTTACCAGCTCTTCTTGCAAAGAACATTGACTACATTAAAAAATGTGTCCTCATAAAGGTCAGTCTAGGAAAGCTTCTCCAACTCTCTAGAGTGAACACTAACCCTTCCTCTGTTCCCACAGACCTCGATTCAGCACGTAATCAGGAACGACTTTTGAAAATTCTGTGACCTTCTTACAGTTTGGAAAATGCTTCCTGAACTCCACTATCCTGTTTAACTTCACATTAGCACTATGACATAAGAATTCTTAGTTCTATTTTACAGGCAAAGTCGGGAAGTTTAGAGATAAGTAGTTGTCTGAAGTACTCTACAGGCAGCACACCAGAGCCAGGGTCTGGGCTCCTACCCAGCTTTGACATTTTACCTCTTCCTCTTCCTCCTCGCCTTCTCTGTCAATAATCTGGAGCAGCCTCTTTTTGTCATCATCTGCTTCTTCAGCCACAGTCACTTCCTCCTCCCGATAGCGGCCCCGTTCTCGAGGACCAGCTTGTTTCCGACGTGTTTTCTGCTCCTCTTCCTCCTCGTCTCGGGGACGCTTTGTGCCTCTGTTGGGCTGAGAATGAGAGAAAAGAAACACAGGATGTCAGAGTTGGAAAAGGTACAGAAAGCATAGGCAAATGCCCCAAAAGTTTTCAAGGATTCTCTGATAGGAAAGCACCATAGCAAACCATCTCTCCCACGAAGTGAGGCAAAATTCTACATGATCATTTTTCAGACCTCTAATGATTCTACAAATACACCATGAACAACTGCTTTCTTCGTGCGGTGGGGGCAGTTTTTCGATGCACAGTTTTACCACTTTACAAAAGTTTCTATGTATACAGAAATTGCACAGAACGAAGATGAACTGCACAAGACAAAGATGTCCCCACTTGAAGATGCAGACACTGGGTTAGGCTCACTTACTAAGAAACAATCCCCAAAGTTGACCCCTTAGCACATGGCCTTAATTTATATGGTACAAAGTCACTTTTACAGTCACTCAGAAGTAGTTCAACTAGAGAATATACCATATGTAACTTCCAAAGATCTACTGTTCTTCAAATTCTGTTTTACTGAGGAAGGCCAGAGGCCAGTCAAAGGGACTAAACAGACACTTCTCAAAGAAGATATACAAATGGGCAACAGATATGTGACAAACTGTTCATCATCATTAATCAGGGAGATTCAAATGAGAAACACACAGAGATATTACCTCACATCTGTTAGAAGAGCTGAGGAGGATGAGGTGAAAAGGGAATTCTTGTGCAGGGTTGGTGGGACTGTAAATCAATGCAGGCATTATAGAAAACAGAAAACTAAAAACAGAATCCCAAGATGATCCAGCAATCCCAATTCTGGGTACATATCCAAAGGAAGTGAAATTAGTATGCAAAAGTTACCTATGCTCCCATGTTCAGCGCAGCATTACTTATAATAGCCAAGATACAGAAGCAACCTAGGTGCCCAACATCAGATGAGTGGATAATGGGGGTATACATACCCAATGGAATACTACTCTGTCACAAAAGCATTTCTGTCATTTGTGAAACTATGGATCAATATGGAGAACCACTAGACTATCGTAAGTGAAATAGCCCACGCACGTGATCTCATTTACATGTGGAACTTAAAATAGTTGAACTCAGAAGTACACAGTAGAAGGATGGCTTCCAAAGGCCATGGAAAGAGGACACACTGATGAAGTACAAAGTTTTGATGCGCAGAAATAAGCTTTGGTAATCTATTGCACAGAATGGTGACTGTAATAATAATGCACCACATAGTTCAAAATTTGTAAAAGAGTAGATTTTCAAAGTTTTTACCACCAAAAAAAAAAATCTACATAAGGTGATGGGAGTTGTTAATTAGCTCAATTTAATCATTCCACAAGGTCACAAAACCACTGCTATCGTACAATAGAACTAGCAATTTCTGATTCCTAGTCTGAGGCACTTTCCACCATACTCTCTCTGATGGTACCTCGTTTTGTCTTTTACAACACAGTCCGTGAAGAATATACTTTCCATTAAATTAGAACAAAACAAGGCACTACTGAAAAGGGTTTCAAAGCTAAGAAGAAACAAAAAGATATCAATGTCACCATTTGGCTCAACTTGCTATTGGTGTGACTGAACACATCACTGACCTCTCTAAACCTCAGCTTCCTCAAATGGAGAATTTGCCCTTCCCCAGTGAACTTCAAAAAGCTGCTTTTAAAGTGAAAGAACTCTAAACTATAAGAGGATTAAACAAATATAAAATTATCACTATGAGCTAATCCATATGACTGTCTTCCCCAACAAATGGACTTTTCCTTAGTGTGACAACTGCACCCACTAACAGTGTGCTAGTGCAATGTGGTATGTTACTACCGAACAGAAGAAAATGCCACGTTCACTGCCGGCCTGTTACACTGTTTGGTAAAACCGACAAATTTCTATTACATGTCACACACCTCGCCTTGTGACTGTCACCGAATCGCACTATGCCAGGGATAGAAAGTCATTTCCTTTATATTTGTGTATCCTGCTGGTTCTACATACCAGGTGCTTCAGTAAGTCTGAGCATATGACATTGCTTAGACAACTCACATTAGACAATCTAGTTTATGTGGTACCACCTGCTATTTTTCATTCTTTTCCTAGTCCTCCTAGGATAGACTAGTTTCATATGAACATACCCTATCTCCTGAAGTTCAAAAATCTACTTTTAAAAAAAAAGGAAACCAACAAGCCAGTAACTACAGACAACAAGGAAAAGGAGGTAGTGGCTTTCATGTGAGAAGGAGAAGCGAAGGTAGCATTATCCTACAGGAGGACAAGCTTCAAACTAGAAATCTGTAGCTCCCCAGCAGGTAAGGAATTTCAGCCCCCTGGGAACTGGAATTCTTTCAGGCTCATAAAACAAGCCCCGCTGTGATTCTGATTAGCAAGAGCCTGCTGCAGCAGCCAAGTCAAAGCATGAGCTCCAGAGTTCTCCATGGAGAGATTTCTGGATTGTTTACCTCCGAGGGCAGAGAGAAAAGGCAGTGACCACAATCAAAAGGAGAAAACTAAATACAGCTATAGCTAAGAAATGTAAAACAGAGATAACACTGGCAACATCCCTTTGGAAACCCATCTTCCAATCCACCACGCCCCCACACCCAGTGCTGGAGACTGAACCCACGATCTCATGCATGCTAGGCAGGCATTCTACCATTGGGCTAAACCTTTAGTTCCTTTGTTGTTGTTATTTTAATATTTTATTTTGAGACAGAGTCTTGCTAAATTGCCTGGCTGGCCTCAAACTGGCAATCTTCCTGCCCTAGCTTCTAGGGTAGATGGGATTATAGGCCATACCCAGCCAATTCACTTGTTTAAAACAAGCACTGCAGAGGTCAGGGGAGAAGCTGCATTTTTATTTCTAATAATTTCCACTGAAATAGCACCTTCTTCTGCAGAATTTTAATGTCTGCCACATCGCTGGCAACCAGAGGCAGTTAACAGTTCTGTTTTATAAGCTGAGAGATAGGATGCGTATTTTAAAAAACTCTTGCAAAGACAACCTGATCCCTTAAAGTTGAAGCTGATCTCTGGAAAATTTGCTCATATACCATGATTCCAGTACCCTAAAGGTCACAGATCTGAAGGTTTCACTTGTGTGTATGTATGTATAAATAAATAAATATCGCCAGACGTGGTGGCACACGCCTGTAATCCCAGCCCTTGGGAGGCTGAGGCAGGAGGATTGCTGTGAGTTTGAGGCCAGCCTGGGCCACAAAGTGAGCTCAAGGCAAGCCTGAACTGTATAGCTAGACCCTGTCTCAAAAAAAAGACAAAATAAATAAATACCATAGAAGACCTTGATTAAGTTAAAACAAATTTGTTAAACCATTAATTCAATAATCAGTTTTATTAAAGAAGCATCATAAAGTAATGATCTGGCCCAGCAGCAGTTCCAGGCTTCCAGTTAGCTTGTGTCTAAGCACAGTCACAGGGATGCATAGGGTCAGTGTGGGTTGTTAGGACAAGAAAAGCTTTTATACCCTTCATGAACAGTCCAAGTGCAATGTCCCTAAGAGGAGGACAACCTTTAGGCTCACCAGCTGTTTTATCCAATCCTCCTCCCCCTGAATTCAAATTGGGCTCCTCTCATGACAACTCTGCAGAGCAGAGCAGGGCCCCTTAGGACACTCTTGCACGGCTCCTCCACCTCACGGCCACTTCCACGTCCCTCTCCCACAGGTGGGTAGGTTGTGATATGCTTTATTTCAGCTTTTTTTCCCTCCCCCGGCAAAAATTTATAGCACTTTTGCTCTTGTTTTGTTTTGCAGTGGTAGGGATTGAACCCAGGACCTTGCGCATGCCAGGCAAGCACTCAATCACTGAATTACAATCCTAATCCTTTGTAAAATATTTTGAGGTAGTCCTGATAAACTGCCTAGGCTGGTCTCAAACTTGCATTCCTCCTGTCTCAGCCTCCTGAGTAGCAAGGATTATAGGTGTGTGACACTACGCCTGGCTGAACTTTCAGTTGTTCCTTTCAAAAGCTAACACTCCAAATAGAAAAGTCTCTCTCCATTCCTGAGAGTTTACCACTCTAAGCCATAAATGTTGAGATTCATTTCTTCAACAAATATTAAATGCCAACTACATCTAAGGTGCTGTGCTGATACTACGTATGTAAGTGCGAACAAGATAAACACTGCCTTGACTTCCTTGCAGATAATAATATGTAACATAATAACCACTGTTAATCCCTATCATTTGGTTTGAAACCCCGTATCATTTTTAATGTCCTTGCTTTGTTTTGTTTGTGTTTTGCTATTCTTTTTATTTTCTTTAAAATTAAAAAAAAAAAAAAAACTGCCTTGCTATATTAGAACTTAAAACTCTAGGACACAGAGTTCAACTAAAACGTAATGCAACCCATATATGTAATTTGACACTATTTAGGAACATTTTAAAAGTAAAAGAAACAGGTAAAATTAATTTGAATAATATCACTTCAACGTGTCAATAGAGAAGATTGCTAATTTGATATTTTCCTTCTTTTCATACTAAGTCTTTGGAAGTTAGTATCTCAATACACACTAGCCACAATGTGTTCTCAACAACCATCTGTGACTAGTGGCCATAGTTAAAAACAGCACAGGTCTAGGGGGTTTCTTGCTCCCTGATAAAGCAACAAAGAAGGAAATAAGGAAATAGGGACTCACAGAAAGCTGGTCTGGACTGTGAAAGGCCCACACTAAAAATTATGATGCTAACTCCTCACCCTCACCCAGAAATAAAACAAGTATATTCACCGCTCTGAGAGTAGCTGGTTATATAAAGCAAAACATGAGCTCTAAGTGGGGAAGAAGCTTGCCACTGTCACTCCGATTTCACTATGGGGGAACTGAAAGGCTGCGGATCCAAAAAGAGAATGTATCACTCAGAGCTGCCAGAGGTCAGCAGCTCAGGCCAAGCTTTCCTCGTGTCACACACAACCAATCCCAAGAGGCTTAAGCCACTCTTACCAATCACTTTTGGAGATTAATTTGTTTTGGTATCTGAAAGGTGTTTGGAATCCCTCAAGATGAAGGAA